CATGGGTGCTTCCTGTTCTTCACCTCGAGGAAATGTGGAGAAAGCAGGCTAGCTGCTCTGTTCAGGCTGTGTTTGTCTTCGCTGCCATCGTAGTCGTGTCGTTTGGCTCTCTCTTTCTGAGAAATTTTCAGGTCGCGCATCACTTCAGCTGCTCCTGCCGACTTCCATTTCCATTTCAGTTTTATGGTTCCTGTACGGGTACACATTTAATTGTCCTAGGAGTTGTATGATTTGATGGTGCAGACAAATCCTCTCGTCGGCTGGAATGGATGCTTCTGAAAATGGCCATCTCGATTCTTGGATAAGCAAGCAACTTGTGCTGTAGAGCACTGGTGTATTGGATTCTATCGTTCAGCCTGTTGCCCAGCCGCCATCGAGAAGGACCAGGGGTCACATCCAGCCATTATCGCCAGCAGATTATTGTGTGGCTGTATCAGACAGCAACTTGGATCTAACCAAAATACTTCCAAACCTTTTGACGAGCGCCTGCAAGACTATTTTTCAAGCCTCGGCTGCAACGAGAGAATTTCACACTGAACAGTTCGATTATAGAGGGAGAACGGCAGAATTGCCGCGCGTTTCGAACTTAGCCCGGTTACTTTTGGATAACAACCAGTACGGCTAACGATCTCAGAAACTTCAGTACCTTTGGTGCTCACTGAAGTTGCTGGAAGTCTGAAACACATTTAAGAAAGGTTGATGCTGTCTTGTGCTGAAACATACAGTACATGTCTCAAAATGATCGGAGAGTATAGTTGGGCCTCATCTGATTTGTGCAAGCACTTGAATTATCAGCCAATGCTCTTCTTATGCAAGGTAGAGAAGGAAATCAAGCCTTGTGTTCGGGAGCTCATAATCATTGGCCCATCCCAGGCCTTTCCACGGGTGGGCCAATTATTATGGGCCTCCAAGTGAGGCCTTAGAGATTAAAAAAGGAATAAGTTCACCAGGCATCCCTCAACTTTACGTCAAGGTTGTTTCACATCCATTATCTCGAATACCAGAATTTTTCACCACTAAACTATACAAAACTGTGCAATTTTGGTCCTATAGCAGTAGGAATCTTTGATTTCGCTGATGTGGCATCCTAGTCAACAAAAAAAAAAGGGCCACATGTAAGTGAGAAGGAAAAAAAATATGGGTTGGCATCTCATATTTCTTCTCTTTTCTCTTCTCTTCTCTTCTTTTCTTCAGCAGTTCAACAAGTTTGGGGAGGCCACCGACGACAGAGGGCGGAGCGGCGGCGAGCGAGCGCAGCAACAAGTGATAGAGGAGGTAGACATCGGGTGGGTCGGTGGTGGGCGATGAGCGTTGGAGGGGGCATGAACGGTGGAGGTGGTCGGAGGAGGAACAGAGCGGAGCCGAGCCCGCCACCGCTTTGCCTGCCTGCTTTGCCCGCCACCGCTCCACACCCCTCCTCCTCCGGCTAGGGATGCAAGCGGGGTGGGCAAACGGGTTTTTTACCCCGCTTATCTCACTTCTAGTTTAGTTTTTCTTCTAAATTTTGTACTACCATATGGGAAATGACCTAACAAGCGGGTTTTTATATAGGTAGCGGGACTATCCACTTGCATCCCTACCTCCGGGCACCTTTTGCCGTTGCAACATTGAGGTTGTGGCAGTGGGGCTTGGGCGCATTCGAGTCGGCGGACCTCGGGCGCCGGGCACGGGAGAAGCTTGTCCTTGGGGATGCAGAGCAGGTGCTCAAGGTTGAGCGCCTCCTCCAGCAAGCAGTTCGCCTCGGCCTCGATGAACCACACCCCTTCCCCGTGTGCAGTATATCTAGGGCTCCCCGAGGACCGGCTCCGTGATGTGTCGGCGACGGGGTAGTAGTGGACGAGCACCTTGGCGAAACCCTCCCACATGGCAAAGATCGATACGGCCTTGTCCTCGACGATTTCAGCGAATGCGAATGGAAAGACCTGGATGAAGTCGACAAAGACACGGACGGCGGCGGTCTTGTCAATGGAGGATAGTGGAAGGGAGCCGCCCGGGGTAGGCCCTGGCTCTATCGATTAGGAGGAGGAAGGAAACAGGGGTAGTTGTCAGTTGAGCTCGCGTGCGTGTAATGCCACCACCAACGTCGTGTAGTTGACGGGGAGGGTTGGTAACGCCTCAACTACACACTGACATGTGGGGCCCGATGTATGCTAGGATCCTTCAAAACTTCAAGTTTATATGAAACTCAAGAAAGGCGTTTATGTAAAATTTAAGGTGTTTATGCAAAGGCAGGGTCCGTCCCAAGTTTAAGTCAAAATTTAAGTGAGCGAGGTCGGCTGGTATCTCTAACAGTCTCTCTATGTCTATTTGGCTAGTTAGCCAACAAAATTAAGTAGTTAAATTTACCTTTCACTTCAAAAGCCTCTCCTAATTACACTTTTAATACGATGGTGGGTCCTATATGTTAGCCTCTCTTGTTCCCCTACCCTTCTTCTTCACCCTTCTCTCTCCTCTTCTTTTCCTCTTTGTCCCCACTTTCTTTTTCCAATCTCCCTCGATGTTGCTGTCCCTCGTCTTTTTCCTTGTGCCGTTGCTGCCCAATACTTCTTCCACCCAAATAGAGCTCCCCAGTGTTCGGACCGACTTCTCCACTGGCTGAATTCGACCTTGAGTGGTGGTCTTGGCTGCCTGTGATGAGCGGTGCTCGTGAGGGGAGTAGCAACGGCTGCACTCAAGAGCTCTTCTTCGGCAGAGGCAATGACGCTCGCGGCCTACGGCGGCAGCTTTGTCTCACCCATCGAATCCTTGACAGTTGCGGTGGCGCTTGTGAACGGAGCAGCGACAACAACAACATTTGTGGGAAGGTTTGCCAGCGCGCGGCGGGGGGGGGGGGGGAGGGTGGAGAGAGAGAGTGGTTGGGCCATGGTTGACAAGTGATTTTGGTTGGCTAAATTTGGTTACCAAGTGGAAGGTTGGAGAGGCTATTAGAGCATAATTTTTCGCTATAATTGTCAAAATTTGTGGAAGGTTGGAGAGGCTATTAAAACATAATTTGTCGCTACAATTGTCAAAATTTGACTTGAGAGATTACTGGAGCATGATTTTTCGATATAATTGTCAAAATTTGACATAGGAGACTACTGGAGATGCTATGACAGAATCCGTAGGGTGTGTTCGCATACACTGGTTCCCAACCCGGAATAGTAACACGGAAAATGGAGCAGTCTAGTAGCACGTGATTAATTAAGTATTTGCTATTTTTTTCAAAAATGGATTAATGTGATTTTTAAGTAACTTTTGTATATAATCTTTTTACAAAAAATACACCGTTTAATAGTTTAAAAAGCGTGCACGCAGAAAACGAGGCTGATGGGTTGGGAAAAGGGGTGCCGAACACACGCGTAGAAATGCTAGAGACGTCACGGTTGGGCGTTTCCTTCCACGCGTTCACAGTGTTCACTGGTTCAGTTTAGAGTTTGAACCAAAATTTTGTGCGATGCGAGGCCCCACGTCGTTGCAGAATCCAGTATGGAATGCTATATGTCCATTGCGATTTGTGTACGATCCACGCACTCGCATTGGCATACCATACCATACCAAAGGCAAGGTCGCCCGTAGCCACGTATTACTCCCTCTGTCCACGTCACTAGCGGCTCGGCCCCGCGAAACGTCGCGCACCTTCCCACCGTTCCACTCCACCACGCGCCCGTGCGCCACACAGCCGCGTACGAGCCGTTGTGTGAGCGGACCGCCCTCGCGCGCAGGCGCGCGTCGCGACCAGAGCAGGACGGCGCAGCGGCCGTGAAATGAAAAAATAAACAAAACAAAACACCGGGAGCCCAGCTACCCGCACCACCGGCACACGCGTAACGCATGTTTGGACTTGGTGCTCGTCGTCGCAGTCGGTGTGCGCCACCACGCGCGGAGGTGGGGGCGTGGGGCTCGCGCACGGCGCACCTGCCGCGCGCGTCGCGGTACGGCGCTCGGGCAGAGTGGCCCCGTGTGCCTGTGGCTCTGCTGGAGCCTACACGGGCGGTTCAGCCAGCACGCACCGAACTGCCAAAACGTCCCCACAAAACTGATGGAACTGAAGCTTGTAGAGAATATCCGGTGAACGATTCGGGCGCAGAGGTATCTCACCCATCGAAATTCCTCGTCAGATGCCGATCCTTTTGCTATTTCGTAGCCAACTTTGCTAATTTGATCGATTATTAATTAGTAATTGATTAATTCTCTTTGCTTAGCTGCTAAAGATATATGAAGTGGCTCGCTTGAAGGGAAGGGCGTACTAAACACACGTTATCTCGTCTTCTTTTCTTGCACATATGGACACGCCAATGAGTATTGAATAGTGCACTTGCTTTTGTGTGAAATGGTCCAATAAACCTAAGTTGCTCGTGGCACCAATCGCCTCTCTCCTTTTCCAATTCAAAGAGATAGGCTCGCACTGTTGCAATTGGAATGACGTTGGTCCAAGTTGCTCTACAAAACATCGGCGACATTCTACAGTAACCTGAATGTGACTTTGGCACCCATTCTATCAAACACAAAATACGCTCTAATGATTTAACACAATTGGATTACTAGTTTTTTTTTTAAAAAAAACTACATACTAGTTTATGTGCTTACCGTTGACGATAACAACACAACACCATATAAAAGGCCACTGATTTAAGGCCACACATTCTTGTTGAACGAAAAACACGTTCCTGTTTCTCCAAAGAGAACCAAATGTGGCTAATGAAAATGCAGACAAGTCACAATAAAAAACAGAGGCTACTATAGAACCAAAATAAACGCTGTTCCGCTATTATCCTTGTAAGCACAACAGCGAAAAATGCCTAAAATAAACCAGAGAACCAAAAGCAAAACGGGCAAGGAAACAAAAAGAACAGCTTAGGTTTATTTTAGCAAATTAGTAAACCTAAGCTAGGGCAAGGAAATAGCGCGAAAAAGAACTAAAAAAATGCCAAAAAGAAGAGCACGAAAATGACAAAAAGAAATTAGTAAAAACAAAAAAAAGGGGAACAGAATTGGAGAGGAAACAGCTTCCGTGCCCTAGCTTCCCACCCTTCCAGCGAGAGAACAGCGCCGCATCCATCCTCCACCGCCTCTCGTTTATATTTCTGCGAGGAAACGAAGCGAAGCGAAGCGAAGGCAAAAACATCCGCCGCCGCCGCCGCCGCCGCCGCCGCCAGTTCGTCGTCGTCTCGTCCCCTTTCCTTCCTCCATCCCTCGCTCGCGAGCATCGCACGCGCTCTCCCCATCCTCACATGGCAGCTCTGCGACTCCACGCACAACCCGAACCCCTCAAGAACAACCCCTGCTTCTGCTTCTGCTGCTTCTCCTACCCCGATCCCGACTCCCTCTCCCGTCTCGGCCTCGCCGCCGCGCCCATCCGCGCCCACCGCACTAGCTCCTGATTCGAGCCCGAGTCGAGCCGAGCTGACCCTCCCCCCGCGTCGCGTCTCCTCCTCCGTCTTCTTGCGGCCGCCTCGCCTGTTCTTGCTGTGGTTGGTTCTTGGGATCAGGTTCTCTGATTCTTGCTGCGCGGCCTCTTTCGCCATGGGGAAGAGTGAGTTCCTCTCTTCGAGTTGGTTGTTTGGTGGTGTTGGTGTTTTTTTTTTTTCTGGTTGTGTGATGATTTTTTGGTGATTTCTTCAGGTAAGAAGAGCAAGGTCCGTGGCGTTGGCGGCGGGGACGACCTGATCGACAGCAGCGACGCCGACAGCGTGGGCTCGTCGTCGACGGCGCTGTCGGATCTATCCATGTCGTACGCTACCGAGCACGTCGGCTCGCAGGAGTTCGTCCTCGACAAGTACATCGATGCTCTCTATGAGAAGAGGTGAAGTTTCTGTCTCGCCATCTCTAGTTTCTACTACCCCTGTTGCCATTTCGGTATTGTGTGCGCGGTACCTTGATTTAATTCGCGTAGAAATTGTGTGATCGGCTTCTTTCCGTAGGCTTTGCTTCGATGAATTTGTTTCTTATGCAACTATGCTGTCAGTATGGATTGTTATTGGCGTGGTATGATATTACCTTGTTTGAAATACATGAGGGCTTGACACCTGCTCTTAATTGGCTGAGATATTTGATTCCATAGATAGCTTTGGATAATATTTATAATCCGTCAAATTATACGTTACTATGAACTTTTGGATTTTAGTTTGCAAGTTGTTCTTATAGCTATAAATTAATGGGATGGTTGGAGTTTTTTTGCTGGATTACTGAATAGTAGACTTCTTAATGTTGTTCTGTTTCATGTGTACTAAAAGCATTGTGAGTTCAAGTTCCCTGTATACTATACTTGTACAGTTACTATGGCCCATTATGATAAACTAAGCTAGACAAATTTATTGTGATGTGTTGCATCAATTTTTCAGAGCAACGTTTCGTGACATTTTTAAAACCAACTGTGATTTCATTGGAAACTTTTGTAACTGCAAGTTACCGATAGTTGTGCCTGACTTGCTGGTTTACTTACAACCACATTATGTCTGATGATGCGAAGTCCTGATTGTTTACTGATGAGGGCTAAGGAGCTCTATCGTTTGCATTCTTCTCACCCTTGCATCCTTCTGATCAGTGATATTGAACAGTCTTATCTATATTCAATTAATGGTCTTCACAATAATTTTACGATCTATCATTGCATGTCTTATTCTACAAAAGAGGATATTTGGGGGTAGAAGTACAACATTTATGGAACTTGTCTTTTGATTATCTCTTGCCACTTTGTATGTGACAAGGCCACCCTGTATCATGTATTGTATTTAGGGTGATACTTTTATTTTTTCGTTAATTGTTGAGAACCTTTGATGTTACATGATGGTGCCACCCTATATTATGGCACAAGGTCCACAATGCTTCTGCTTACGTCATAGTTGCTTTTTTTCCCTGAAAAAACTTGCTTAGCTCCATTGTTGTTGTGAATGTTGAATCCTGTTTATCAAATATGGATCTGACAAATAAGTAGCACCATCATGTTGGATGTTGAAATTATCAAGCTTGCTCTTTTTTATTGTACTTAATATTTTACCATTTGTGTTGGTGCAGGGGGTCTACCAGGGAAGCCGCACTCTCTCAACTGGTTGATGCTTTTGAAAGCTTCATTCTTCATGGTCTTGTGGAGAACAAGTAAGCTAATACTTCCACCAGTCAATCTTACAGTTGCATCTAGAGATAATAGTTACTTAGTTGTCAGCAATATGGATATTATATAGTACTAGTGATTATTGTAAACATGAAAGACTTATATGACAATCAAGTCCAACCTAGTCAGATGTCAGACTAACACACTTCTCAGTGAAGATGGACTATATATTAATTCATTCTGTTCCATTGTGAGGACGTGTTACTGACTTTATTTTTTCCCTCTTTCGAAGATATGCCACCCTGCTGAGTCTGTTCAACAGTTCGATAAAGAAGGGATCTACAAAAGAGGCTTGTTTAGCATCCCGTGCCATTGGTATGTGCCCTGTAACACTAAATACTCATTTCCGTTCATTGCAGCTATTGTTTACTCACCCTATCTATTGGGTGTTTTTTGGACTTGTAGGTCTTTTAGCCCTTACAGTTGGTGCTGGGAGCAGCTCACATGAAATAATGGAGGAGTCACATGCACAACTTTCTAGGGTCCTTCAAACTTGGCCAGATGCTTCCAAGATGATTTCGGTATGTCAAGTATTTTTTTTTTCTTTAGCTTTCAAACTTTCTTTGCACTTCCATTCAAGTGAATCTATATTGAAATGTTGTAGGCACTTGATTGCTTGGCTGTGGTGACATTTGTTGGTGCTGCTGATTTAGCTGAAACTGAGTTATCTTTGAAAGCTATGTGGGATGTGATTCATCCAAAATCAGGTTCAAATGTATGTATAGGTCTCGTTGACTTTTAAAAATAATATAAAGTATTTGGACAAAGGCATATTTTTTTTAGGACAAACTACAATCAAATGTACTTTGGAATTTTTGTAGGTGGGAATTATCCGTAAACCAAGGCCCCCTGTGTTAGCAGCTGCTATATCTGCCTGGGCATTTCTTCTTACAACTATTGGTTCATGGAGGATAAATGCTGATAGTTGGAAAGAGTAAGTGATACATCCCACCCAACTCTGTGTGCTTGTGATGTAGTAAGCTATTCATGTTCGTGAAATTATTTACTTTCTTTTTTCTTCATTTGCTAGGCCTATTGCATTTCTCTCTACTCTTCTTGGTGCGGAGGATCGTGCTGTTCGAATGGCTGCGGGTGAAGCATTAGCTTTGTGCTTTGAGCTAAATTTGCTTGACGTTTCCTTTGGAGAAGATGATGATGTTGAGAATGGAGGAACTGTTGGTTCTAAGAGTAAACTTTTCCTGGATATGCAAGCTTTGAAAGCCAAAATATCAAGTCTTGCCTCCAATCTCTCAATGGAGGCAGGGGGTAAAGGTGCAGATAAGAAAAATCTTACTGACCAAAGAGATCTGTTTCAACGGATCTTGGATTTTGTTAAGGTCTGCCTCATTTTTTCATGTTTATGTTTGAATGTTTGGTTCCGTTTATTTGCTGCCAATAATGTTGATCTTTCTTTCCTTTTCAGTATGGTGAGTGCCCTGAAGAATCTGTTAAGATTTCAGGAAAGCGTGACGTTTTAAGGGTGTCATCATGGTCTGAATTGATTCAGGTGCTTACCTAACCACTTTCTCTACTGAATTCCTGAATTTCTGCATTTTTTTTTGTCCCTGCCTAATTTTTTATAATGCTATAGTTGAACTTCTTGAGGCGGTTTCTTGGGAGAGGCTTCCTCAAGCATGTGCAGGTACTGTTTTCCAGAGTGAAGCCATTTTTGTATTGTACTAATTTATCTGGTATATTAATGTGACAAAAGTTGGTTCTGTTTTTGATGCAGGAGAATGGACTTCTTCAAGATGTGTTTGACATTAAGACTGACAAAGCTGAAACTCTGTCATCCACTGATAAGGTGAGAAACTGAGATTTTAGCTCCCACCACCAATTGAAAGCCCATAATTGCAAAGTGCTTTTGAACTGGTAACTTGTTACATGATAACCAAAAGTCAATGGTTGGATATATATTTAAAAAAGAACTTGGGAAGTATGGTACATAAAATGCAGTAAACCATGATTGATGGTAATCCGCTTTAGGTTTAGGGTTTTGACTTGAAGCTACCAATTCAGAGTAAACAAAACTGCAAAAGTGGGCACTCTATCCTTAGCAGCATTTGCTTCCCTGAGGACAAGGGGAGAAATGTTTTTAGCATTTTCATGCACACGAGCCTTGACTACTCATCAAACTGCTGAATCAGTTAGTCTTCATCTTCTTAGGCCCCTGCATGGATAGTTATTCCTTTTCTTGAAAATCAAGGGGAGCTGTGTGATTTTTATCAGGTCATTAAATTGTTCAAACATGCACGAGCTTGCTTACACGATCTTCCATGAGCAGCCCCTGCTCGTCTTTTTTCAAAGTTTATCCTGCTTGTTTTCACGTTTCACTGGATTTGCTAATTCCTTTTGCGTATTTCTCATATACTTTTGGATTGCTGATCACAAACAATCGCAAAACACTTGCAGAAAATCTTCAGGTCTGGTGAAGAGAAAGGAAGAGCTCTAAAGTTGAACAAGGACCGCCGTTTAGCCCAGGTGAGCTGACCTGTTGCTTTCTGTTAACACTAGTTCTGTTCTGTGTGGTGTGTGACCCACTTTGTTACCTTGTTTTTCTTCAGTTTTGCTTAAGACATGATCAAAACAGGGTTTGTTTAGAAAGTAGCTTATTTAACTGACATGAAAATGGATGCTAAAAGCAGTGTCTTTTTGGGTCCTTGGAGGAAATGAGAGGGAGAACTATATCCTAGTGTTAATCATAAAAGGTACGAAGAGGTATCAAGAAATGTTTTTAAAAAAAGAATATATAAAGAGATACCTGTACCTCAAGTACCATAAACAAAATCCTCAAGCGCAAAATTAAAATGCTTATGTTTCTTACTTTACCAGTGCACCACAAGAACAGTGGTGGTGTTACGTGTGTCTGACTATAATAGTATATTTGATCTTCTGGACTTCATTTCAGGAGAGGAAGAATGCCGTTATGTTGGACTTGGACGAGTAGCCTAGTGAAACTGCAGCCGTTCGTCCTCTTCTCCGTTTAGCTGGACTTATCTGTAACGAGTGTTTGGAAGTCGCGATTTGTTATCACGACGCTATGCAAAGCAATACTGCAGAAATACTACTACTATACTAGATCCAAACCAGTTCGTGTTTATCAACTCAGCAGTGCCTTTACATGTAAAGGTCTAAACCAGTTTCTGTTGTCCGGTCGCTCAGAGTGCCTTTACATGTGGAAACAAACGTGCTGAAATGAAATCTGATTCCTATTGGGGTCTATTTATGCATGTCGTTGCTCGTGTTTCCTGTGATTCTTAAGTACTCTCTTGCTCGTGTTTCCTGTGATTCTTAAGTACTATCTCTCCGTCTCAGAATATAAGAAATCTAGTCCTGTTGAGATACGTAGCTGAACTGCTCGTGAACGTTGGCCACCGGGCAACAGCTGAACTGTCTCAACTCTCAACTGCCTACCGTCATATGGTCGGACCGGCGCGCAGCATGAGGACGTTGGCCTCGTGCGCTGTGTACCTTCACAGGCTGGTCGGCGCAGGCCCGTGGATGTGGAACCTGATATGTTTTGTGGCATGGCTGTGTGTAATTCAATCTTTTTTTTCATACGGAGGAAGTAACTTCTAATATCACCAAGTCCTTTAATAGTTAAACCCGGTATAAAGTGTATCCTAACTTTTAGGACCGGAGCAAACCGAGTCCTTTGACAATATTGAGGGGTCCTTCGATAATTTTTTTTTAGAACTCTTCGATAATATTGAGATGTGGTTCTATCGGTGTTCTCATTTTTAGTTTTACTTCTAGTACTACGTAGGTGTTACATGAAACAAATACCGTACTATGTTATTAAGCCATGTAGACATCACAATAGTTGAACCCATCTTTAATAATATCGAGGAACTTCGGTGTTAAAATTTTTGAACTTTTACGGTAACAATGAATGTCATCTCTCCACTCAGATACTTTATAAAATAAATGAAACATAAATTTCTGAGCCTTACAGATTATGCAAAGACAATTCATGTACATAATGTGGATCGATCTATATTGTTATAATTTAGATCCATGTTTCAGCATTGTTATAATTTAGATCTACATTTACAAAAATTCATGTTTTACATACAACAATATCGATCAATCTATCTTAGTATTATAATTTAGATCCATGTGACAATATAGTGGTGTAAATGTTTCCTTATGTCTCTGCTAATGGGAAGAAAAGACAAAGTTGCGGAGTGCAAATGTTTCTCTTTTTCTCTAACTAGCAAGAAGTTGGAAGTAAAACATAATATTTGATAGTTACCATAGTCTTTAATGTATTGGCTTTAATGGATGGTGCAGCAAAATTGCTTGGGAATTCACTCAAACAAGCCATCTGTTTCTTGTTCCCTAAAAACAGGATCTAAAGGCTCATTACCGATTATCTGGCCTGCAGAGTGCACAGATCCTAAAGTGGTTCATTCTTGCAAAATGAGGGGAAAAGGGTTATTTTAACAAAAGAAAAACTGTGCGGATGTTCAGCTATACCAGCGTTGTGAAAACGACCGAAAATCTCATGTGACGTCCAACCCCCCAAAAGTTCCCATTGCTGATTGAGCTTCTCCTTCACCATTTAGTCACTCAATATAACATCAGTACAGAACCTGAAACTGTCATGATGGGAAAAATTTTAACCGAAGAGAAGACGGTTACTTGGTTTGCACATTCACACTAGCTTCAGAAACTTGAGCTGGTGCAAACTGATTATGGAATATCAAATATGCATGATTATGACATGATAATGCTACTGGATGCCAAAGAAATCATCGATTGATCATTGATGCTTACCTAAAAGGGATTTGTGGAAGATAATCATTGACAGCCCTGTAACCTTGATACCCATTGTACCATTAAACACATCAATATGTCAGCTATTTATGAATATGATCTTAATGGATCAAATATAAGATCACAACTGACATGTCCCTCATGAAATGCCAAGTTTCTCCACGACTTTGCCAGCAATCTGAATTAGTCCATTCTCGGATTCTCCTGGATTCATATTCAATCCCTCTGTTTGAGTCAGGGACCTCACGAACAACTGTCAGAAGTCATGCTGCTGTGACCGCAGAAAAAAATATTCACCAATAATTACCACATGAACATTCTCCATCCTTGAAATGATGAAACCGCCTGACATCTCTAACAACAATTTCCCGTCCAACCGCCTTTGACATGAACATCATTGCAGTATGACAGTCACCACATATTCTCAAGTTTTTTAAAACAGTAACTGTAGCTCCAGGAGGCAACTTTAGAAGTCCAAATCCAACTGCCAGCTTCTCACTATGTGCAAATAATATGTATTCCTTTTCATGAGGCTCCATATCATGCAACACAAACTTTGTATCAGGAACATATCCCAGCTTTCTCATCCTAGCACCAATCACTTCAAGGAATTGGTAGACTTCCTGTGCTTCTGGATGTTTTGTATCACCAACAAGAAACACATGGATTTTACTTCCTACTTCTATCCAACTGCACCCAGGCTCCTTCTTGACCCCACGATCACGCATTAGCTTTCTAACTCTTGCAGCATCGACCCAACGTCCAGCAGCTGAATATGTGTTAGACAGTAGGATGTATGTTCCATCATGCTGTGGTATCATCCGAAACAGCTGGTCAGCTGCATAAGCACCAAATTCCATATCTCCATTAGTCCGACAGCCAGAGAGAATCGCCTCCCAAATGGACGGGGTAGGCTCAAAAGGCATTGTCTTGATCAAATCTCTAGCTTCTCCAATTCTTCCAGAGCGACCAAGTAAATCTATCAGCCGTGCATAATGATCTTCTCCAGGACTAATGCCAAAGTCCCTCTTCATGGACTCAAAATAATGGAAGCCTTCATCTACCAAACCAGCATGGTTACATGCTGTCAAAATTGTGAGGAAAGAAATTCGGTCAGGATCTATGCCTTCAGCAACCATCTGGTCAAATAGCTCAAGTGCCTCTCTACCGTGTCCATGTTGCCCAAGAGCTGAAATCATGGCATTCCACGAGACAGAGTCTAAATTGGGCATCACAAGGAACACAAGACGAGCATCGTTCACAGCGCCACATTTGGCATACATTGTTAGAAGTGCATTTCCGGCAGAATTGCTTGCCTCAAATCCACACTGTACAAGATGTGCGTGGAGCTGCCTTCCATGCTTCAGCGCTCCAAGTTCACCACAGGCAGCTATTGCACCCGCATAGGTGTAGTCGCATGGTTTGACATCCTCAGCTCTCATCTGGTTAAACAGTTTCAGAGCATCTTCTGAAAGCCCTCCGTGGACATATCCTGAGACCATCACCATCCATGACAAATCGTTTTTATATGGCATCACCTTAAATACCTCAACTGCTTTGTCCAAACAGCCGCTGTCAATGTATCCCGACAAAATGGTGTTCCAAGAAACAACATCCTTCAGATTCATAGTGTCAAATATCCTCTTCGCAATCACAATCTTTCCACCCTTCGAGTACAAAGTCACTAACGCATTGTTAACAGGCAATGCTGCCTCAGGAACGAAATTCGGCTGTAACCGAATAATCTGACCATGGACTGACTTCCCATGCACAAAGAATCCAGCATTTGCACACGCACTCAGGACGCTAGTAAAAGTGAACTCATCAAGCGGAACCTTTTCCGACACCATCCTCCTGAATAGCTCAAAGGCGTCTGCACACATTCCCGATTGGACATACCCTGAGATCATCGCATTCCACACGACATCAAACTTACCATCAACCTCCTCAAAAACTGATCTAGCAGCATTGACATCGCCTCTCCTGACATAGCCGACGACCATAGTGGTCCATGTGAGGTCATCCTTATCCGGCATTTCGTCGAGCACCTTCCGTGCGTCCCAGGAGGCCTCAGGCGTGTCGCACTTCATGTACAGAGCAATGAGCGCATTGGACACAGACAAGACAGCCGCCGCGCCGGACTTGAGCACGGAGCAGTGCAGCTGCGTGCAGTGTGGCGCGGCGAGGTTGTGCATCTGGCCGACGGCGCTGATGAGCGCGGTGAAGGAGTAATCGTCGGGGCGGAGTGAGCCGGAGCCCAGCAGGGCGTGGAACACGGAGACCGCGGGCGCGGCGAGGGACGCCCTCGCGAACGCGGACATCATGGCGTTGTGGAGCACGGTGTCGCGGCGGGCGGGCGGGACGGCGTCGAAGAAGGCGGCGGCGTCCCGGAGGCGGCCGGCGGCGGCGTGCGCGGCGACGAGGGAGGTGGCGGCGACGGGGCCCGGGTCGGGGTCCGAGCGGAAGAGAGCCGCGGGGGTGGCGAGGTCGGGGGAGAGGGTGTAGAGGTGGATGAGGCGGAGGGTGAGGTGGGGGTGGGACGGGGCGTGGAGGAGGTCGGCGGTGAGAAGGCGGGCGTGGAGGCAGCGGAGGGCGCGGAGGAAGGAGGAGGAGGGGCAGGTCGGGGCCGGCGAGTGGCGCTCGGCGAGGCGGCGGAGGAGGAGGGAGCATTGGTGGGCGAGGGAGGCGACGGCGGTCGGCGGCGGCCGCCATGGCCGCATCGCGCGTTGGCGTGGTGGTCGGGGCAATTCGGAGCGCGCGCCGCGCGGCCCAGTGTTCAATTGGGCGTGGGCCTTTGGTTGGGTTCAGGCGTTTGGCGGGTTAGCGGATTTCTGAACATTACTTTCAGGTGTTCAAATGTTTCTGAGCATAGCAATGTTCTATGGAGTATTGAAGAGCAAGAGGAGGCACCTCTAGCAGGGTTTACATTACCGGTTGACCACTAAATTTCGAGCCACATCGATATCACGGTTTTCGATAAATTTTGATCGGTTTTTGATAAATTTCGACTGAATTTCGACCAAATCTAATGTTTAACCTTCGAAATTCTAATCGAAACTTAATTCCAAACCGTGTCAAAACGTCGAAATTTTGCGGAATTTGACCGGTTTTCATCGGAATTGTGAACCCTGACCTCTAGAGCATTTTTTTTTGGATTACACGGTAGTACACAAGCACATATGTTATTACACACAACACTATACTTACACGCTCATAAATATGTCTTTAGCTTAAAAGATACTACCTACTTTCTAGAATGTAGCAATCTAGAATGGGATGACATGTTCTAGGATGGGTCTTATTCAATTATAGGTTAATACGTTCTGAAATGGAGGGAGTAGAAACCAGCGACACGTTTCCGACCTGATATTTAATTATGTGTTTTACTGTACCGGCTCTTACGTATCTATGACAGAGAATCTCACAATTCTTCTCCATGCCACTTTCTCTCCTGTAACTGGAGGTACACTGAAGATTTCTAATCTACTACTACCTACTAACATAATATGTTTAGCCTAAACACGATCACCCTAGAATCAGATTGGCAGCGCACCGTTGCATCCACTGCATCTACTGATCTACTACGTACTAACATAATATAGTACACTGCCGGTTTGATTACAAAGGAGTCACTGACGATCAGGTGTGACGTGGCAGCATCCCTCATCCAATCCCTTCACTTGCATTGATCAAGGACTGCACTACGAACACCCTCCAACATTTAGCTTAGGATAGAGATGGTTAACGTTTTTTGGACAAGAAGAATGTGAAGTGATCGCTAAAAAAACATGAATACTAGGGAAGAACCTAATATCAAATAATTAGAATGGGTGAGGCTTCAAATCCAGGTCGTAATCCACCATCTTGTGAAACTAGTCGGATGATCCCTGTGCGTTTCTCTGAAGTGATTGTTACCATGACACGGTGTTGGCATCTTTTGTTAATATCACGTTGTGGATGTCGAGGATAATAAAAAGAAACATCGGCGTGACCGATCAATGCACAAAAATTGGGAAAACATAGCGTTGATTCGCGGTGATCGTGTAAGCAACGAGTGGAAACGGCCCTAATGTGGTTGACTCCCAGTTTTCCATGCTGAGAGTCAATTTTCCCAATAATCACCGTTTTCTAACCACCTCTGAACTTCCTTCCAACCTCGAAAACCTGATGCAACAAAGCTTGCTAAAAGGTGGGGTTCTTTGTTGAAATTCGTTATTATAGGACCATGTTTGGTTTATGATTAACTAATGTCACAGACTCACATACAGCCTTAATTAGTTATGTTTTGGCACAAAGTGACCAATGGAATGGTTTCCACAAGTTCGGAACCACATGGCTAAGGAAGTCAAAATAGGGTCAATGAACCAAATAACTAACCACCTAAAAGTGTCAAGCCACATCATAAAGAAACATGTGCAATTGTCAACTTTGGCATTTTAATCTCGATCGGCGTGTCAGAGCATGTCACTGGTTTTATGTCCTCCTACATGCTCCAAGTCCCAAACCGTGATCCAACAAAGTACAGCTTTATAAATTGTAAGCTGAACCGTTTTAAGCAAGGAATCGATGCCAAAGAAGCAGGATCAAACCCTACCAAAGAATGTGACTTTAAAAGAGTGGTACTTCTGTCACCACTAAACCATGTCGTCGAATGCACTCCATCAATCCATATGTAGCCATGATTGATGCCCACAGGATGGAATGTATGTAAAGGCAACGCCTAAAGATGATAATTATCGCCTGAAGATCGATCGATCGATCGATCTCGCTAATTAACGGGCCATCTGCCCGTTATTACATACCAAATGGTACTCAGATCACACTGATCTGACCAACACACTAGCTGTCAGTCTGTCACCCGTTACAAGTGAATTATTGAGCTCCAGGCTAGTCAGACCAACGGATTCTGGCTAGCACAAAGAACAAATCTTCAGCGATTCCGGCGGCAGCAGCAGCGAGAACCTGACGAAACGGTCGCCATCTCCCAACCGCAACCATCGCGCGGGCCGGGCATGCGCACTCGGCGTCTGCGTCGGCGACGCAGCTGAGCTAGCTGTGGACGACAGGCATGTGGAAATATGGAATAAACCAAACGACGTATTTACAAATGAAAAGTAATTTGTAAATAAAACTTTCATATACGTGCTAATAACAAACTAAAGGAGGAGTCCCTCCAGTTGTGGTGGACCGTCCTATCGAGCCTTGAGCTCCTACATTGCTTCCTCTCTGACGATGTTTCCTTCCACGAGTGGCACTGCTCTTGCCAACTCAACGTTCCGCAGGAGCATCGTTATGGATTCGACACGGTCGTGACCCTTGGTGCGCGTTCCATTTGGAAGGAACGGAACAATCGTGTGTTCAATAACTGTTCTCTGCCCTGGTCCGATGTGGTAATAGGCATGGCGCAAGAGGCCGCCCTTTGGTATCTTGCCCATCCCCTGTCGCCAACACTGCCTTCCTAGCGTATTAGGTCTTTTAGTCGTCCCATTGTAATCGCAAGAATAGGTTTAAGTTCTCGTTTTTCTCTTTTTCCTCCTTTTATTCCCAACCCCTCCTCCCCCACCCCTTCTTTTTTTTTCGTCATCTGTGTAAATTTTATTCCTCTGTGTAATCCTTTTACGTATTCCAAAAAGAGCAAACTAAAGCAGAATGCTAAAAAATAAATTTTGATGAAAAAAATTTCTAAAATCAGCTACAAATTTAAGGTTGAAAATTTAAAATTTGGTTGATAAACATAATGAAGCCGGACGCTTCAGTGTGCGCGCTGAGACAGCTAGAGGATAGAAACAACCAAGCAGCAAAGCTACCTTCCTACCGCACACTAGCTACCTTTGAGGCATAGGTCGCCTCTCGCCTTTCAGAATTTTCAGGGCCTCATGATTCTGCCATGGATGTAACAGCGAGACGTCGATCCCGATCGATCGACGGTGTAACTTCCGATCAAATCTCAGCAGCACGCATTCCGTTCTCGAGTAGTAGGATCCGCGAGCACGGCGACAACGGACGGACGGAAGCTTGCGTTCTTGATTTCCTTGGCGCCATTATCCTTGCTTGATTAGTGAGCGTACGTGCGAGATTAGTTGCATTGCACAATCGCGCATATGCAACGGGTGAAGCGACAAAAAAAAATCTGCGTGTCAAAAGCGGAATGAATTGATCCTGAAAAGTTTCAGGTTCACACGTGAATCATGAACGGCTTGGCCATTTTCGTATCCCACTGGATTGCATGCTGGCACTCGCGCGCTCGTCCATCACAACGTCAGATAGCACGCTGCATATGCTGTCCATTTTCTAGTACGCTGGCCGCTGGGCCGTCGTCGTACTGAAGAGCGAGCACGGTAGCTGATGCTTACTCGTAGACTTACCTCCGTCACATTATAAGTGCAGCCGTGGTTTTTCGCACCCAACTTTAACCGTCCGTCTTATTTGAAAAAATTTTGAAAAAAATTTAAAAACATAAGTTACGAGTAAAGTACTATTCATGTTTTATCATCTCATAACAATAAAAATACAAATTATAAAAAATTTTTAAATAAGACGAACGATTAAAGTTGGATGCGGAAACTTATGGTTGCGCTTATAATGAGACGGAGTGAGTACACGCCAAGGCCAGCAGAGAACGTACTGTCCGTCCGTTTCTCATGCCACAGTCGCGGTTCCAGTCAAAGTTTTTTCTCGTCACGGCGTCTGAAATCTTCTCTCTGTGTGTCCCCTATCTCCGGCACGGTTTATGTCACAATTTTCATGCCAGCTTGACAATGTTGGCGATGCGCCGATGCCACGTTTGTGCCAAGGCCCATTGTCCCCACCAGAGTTTTCCAAACCGCCGATAATCGCGCAGTTATAGGGTACTAAGGACTCGTACAACGGTTTTTATTAGTGGTCTTTCTATTTCTATACAAGTAAATTTAATAACATAGAAAAAAGAAAAAAGAGTATGGTTGTTGTAACACCCTAAAAATTCGACGACAAAATCTAAACTCTAAAAATACGGATCTTCAAAAACTTTTTAAATAAAGTTGCATCATGCCAATTTTGTTCGATTATTTTATTGAATTTTGATTTCGGAGTTTATAAATCGCGAATAATGGATAATTAGTTAGGAATAAACCCTGAAAAGTAAATTGACTAAGTAAATAATTAAAGTACAATTTAAAATAATATTTAGTGAGGATAGAAATGAGTAAAATATTATTACGACTATATTTGTATCAATTAAATTGAAAAGTGTCGGAATAAGAATTAACTCTAATTAAATTCAAGAAAATTATATAAAAATAAAATATGGGTAAAATTAATCAAGGATGGACCCATTGGATGGAATAACACAAATATTGAGTGAACTTCATTTGTACAAAAATTAAGGTTTATAGAATCAATTTTAAATAAATAAATAGGCTTAAATCGGGTAAATAGAAAACGGCACTATTCATCGGCCGCCAGGTGTTCGACGAGGTCCCCTAGCCTAACCCTGCCCCGCTGCCGCGCCGACGCCGCGCCCGCGCCCCACGCCTCGCGCCGCGCACCGCCGCTACCGCTGTCGCCGTCGCCGCTCGCCCGTCACATCGCCTTGCACCCCGTGTCGCCGCTGCCACGCTGTCACCGTCGCCGTCGCGACCCGCCTCGCGCCGCGCGCCACCGCTGCCGCCCTGTCACCACCCGTCCCGTCACGCGCGTGTCCCATCGCCCGCCGCTGCGCCGCGCACCGTCGCCGTCGCCACGTGCCATTGCCGTCGCCGCCTCGAGCCCTACACCGCCGTCGCCATCGCCGTCACGCCGCGCCGTCCCATCGCCGCGCGCGTCCCGTCGCCGCGCGCGTCCCATCGCCGCCTCGTGCCCCGCGCTGCCGCGCCGCCGTCGCCTCACCCTCCTTCACCGCCCCCTCTCTCTCCTCTCTCTCACACCCTATAAAACCCCCCAGCCCTTCTTTTCTCCCCCACACCCATTCCCCTCCATCACCTCCCTTTTTACCGCGCCGCCGCCGTAGTGCCGCCGCACCGCCGCCTTCGTGCTGCCGCGCCGCCGTTCCCGTGCCGCCGCGCCGCCGTTCCCGTGCCCCCGCACCGCCGTTCTCGTGCCGCCACTCCCGCGCCGCCGTGCGCCACCGTCGCTGCCGCCGTCGTCGCCGCTGCTGCCGCCGGTGAGCCGCCCTCCGTTCCCCTCGCGTCCACCGCCGCCACCGCTCGGGTGGGAGAGAGAGCCGAGAGAGAGAGGGAGAGGAAAAGAGAGGCTGGCAGAGAGAGAGAGGGAGAGGAAAAGAGAGGCCGGCAGAGAGAGAGAAAAAGAAAGAGAGGAAAAGAAAAAGAGACAAAAAAAGGAAATTAGAGGGAGATTAGGGAAGTTTAGAAAATTTAAAATAATTGGAATTTTATAGGTTAATTATAGTCATAGAATTGCAAAATTTAATATAAATTATGGATTATTCTTGGCAATTTCTATAAGAAATCAATTCGCGGTAATAATTTAGATGTAGTTAATAACTAAACAAATAGATGAATTCTTATGGATTATTATAGATTATTTTTTTGGGTAATCCCTATAAGTAATCAATTCACGGTAGAAATTCGGATTTAATTCCTAGGGATTTTAGCCGTGTATTATATTTAATCATCTAGTCATAGACTAAATTAAATCATATAATATTTCTAGGATTTCGTCCGATATTTAGCTCGCGATAGAAATCTCTAACCTATTATATGGATATAATGCTCGGGTAGATTAAATTAAAAACTTATGACAACAAAACATTTATACCCGCAAAATAGTTTGAATCGAAATTGGGTTTGCCTTAGTTCGCGAATAATAAAGTTAAAATAAAGGAATCGACTTTCGCATTCGACTTTCATTTGGATTTATTTGGATTTTGTTTGAATTCTAATCGAATTCAAATTGTTCTTTCGCACATAATTATAGAGACCGAGGGAGCCGCGGATCCGGGTGAAGGCCAAGACCCGCAAGACCTTGAGCAAGGCAAGTCATCACTATTCCTTGAACATGTTGATCCCAATTGCGAAGTTGTTTTGTTTACAAATAAAATTGCATGCAATTATGAATATCCTACTTGTAATTATGCCATGCCTTGATTATTGTTTACCCCTTATTCCTTCGTAACCATGTTTACGTATGAGTCTCTAGTCAATTATGACAATTGCTTAGAAATGCTATTCTAGAATCATGCATACTCATATTTATCAAATGCTATATGCTTGGGCAATTACCTTTGGGAAGGTAATTGAGATGCGGCATGTGGAGACATGAGCGCCACATTGCCATGATATTGATGACATGATTTGTGAAAGGAAAAAAAAGTTAAACAACTGTTTTCGACTGGGGCGGCTGGAGGATTTGGGTGGTGTCCGGAAAAGGCTAGTGCCGTCCCTGGTCAATTAAGGAACGAGCCATGAAGTTAAGCATGAAACGACCCCCCGTACAACCGCACTTCTCGTATGGGTATAGACCTAGCGGAGTGGATAGCTGAGCGGAGGCAGTATCCATGCGTAGTGGTCTTCTTTTAGCTGTGTGATGTGGCAGCAGTCTGCTGGCAGATGCCCGGTTCGGATGGCCAGGTGAATGGCGGATGCCTATTCCGGATGGTCAGAGGCTGGCTTGGCAATACTACATGAGGATACCCATAAGAGAACAATCATGATGGACTGGGTTCAACGACAAGAAGCAACGTAGGAGTGTGTGTTTTTCCCTTCCCGGGAGCGCCAGAACTCCTCTCACTGCTAGAAACGTATGACGCCTAGAGTGCATGAGGATGTAAAGTTCATGGAGCGGGTACTGCCAATGCGAGGTTATCGAAAAGCTTTGCCGTGACGCGTCTCATGTGTTGGGATGAGGCTCATGTGTTGGGCAGTCGCGGAGTGCGGGTAAAGTGTACATCCACTACAGTGTGAGTAAACCAAATCTATTCGAATAGCCGTGCTCGCGGTTAATGAGCACTGGGACATGTATTACACTTGGCTAGACTCTAAATTCTTTAACTTGAGTGGGATGGAATATTGCATGATAATTTTTATGCTGATGGAGCCACTTCCTGAGAGGCGGGAATGTGGACGTCCTCAGAAAATCATAACGACTCTATGGCGGGAAGCTATCCTTGGGATCACAATGGATGGTGGACAGAACCGTCATTGTTTAATATGAACAATGGTATTAAAACTTGATTAGTCTTTGCTAGGTCTTAGGCTTGTGAAAAGAATTATAAAACTTGCTTTGCGCAAATGAACCATAGCCATCCTTTGAAATCCTCTGTCATGTGCATCATTGCTGTGGTGGCTTGCTGAGTACGGTTGGTACTCACCCTTGCAAATATAAAATTTATCAGAAGCGGGAGATGAAGCTTCGGAGGATCCCTATGCCTACTACCAGGAGGGAGATGAAGACGAAGGCGCCCAATAGGTCTTAGTACGGTCGTTGCCTGTGGCAATGGCATGCCGCTGCTTAAATTCTGCTGCCTTACCTATTTCTGCTTTTGGATGTATTCCGGACCGCTTGGTCCGATGATTTAAGACTATGCCTGCAGGCTTATGATGTAATAATTCGTACTAGACATTCGTGTATGTGTATTTGGTATTTCAGCTATGAATTCGTGTGTACCAGACTACTTGATCCAGGGAAATGGTACTGTTTACACGATTGATTCCTGTTATAAAAACGGGGGTCCACAGTTGTTATGCATGATAACGGCTCAGAGTCGACTCTTAGTATTTATTTGAGCAAATTTTGTTGCATGGTAGTGAAAGAAAGGAAAGAAGAGTAAGAAAAAATATTTTTGATACATTAATGATTAGAGATCATATTGTCTCTATCTGCTGTAGAATGCTACTCTCTAGATAACGTAGAGCTTATATCTGACTCTATCTTTATACATGTCCTAAAAGAAACCGCAATAACCTCCTTAAATTTAACTAAATTTAAAAATTAATTTAAAATTTTGATAAATTTTATACGATTTGTCATGGTTACTATGGGTACCGCTTATCGTCGGGACACGATAATCCCGGTCCGGTGGTCTGAGAAACGCTGGTCCCGCAACTCGCGATTTGACGATTTGTCTTGCACAGATCACCGGCTACAATTCGCGAGCTCCATCAATCCCATACCTGTGCAAGCTACCTGCCACTGTACAGACTCCATACATGTTACTTCTACTACTAGTACTAGATGCTACACCGTGTAGCAGCGCACTGTTTCGCCGCTATGTAGAGTGAAACGGCCACTCCGCTTTCAGGCCGCACGTAACATCGCGCGGAACTCGCCACGTCAGCCGGAACCCACTGATGACACGCACGCACCAACAGTGTGTCACCGCAGACGACAAGACCGTCGCGCAGGGGACACTCCCACATCTCACGTCGTCTCAGCCCCCCAAAGCATCCGCTACCTTCACTGACATATGGGACCCACCTTTGGTGGGGTAGCTGGTGCCAGCGGAAGGGGGGAAGCACCGGCGCCAGCGTGGCCGCTTCTTCCCCACTGGGCCTCCGCGTTTGGTTGTTTCTGGAGCCCCTGGAATTCCTCTTCATTTATTATTGTTCCCCCCTGAAGCTGACGTCTGGGGCCCACCTGGGGATGTGGCCCACGTCTCATTGGGTAGGTGCTGATGGCCAGGCGTTTCGCGTGTTTTTGTGACCGCGCCCCGGTTCAACACGCCGAAGTGGCGGCTTGCGGTTAGTCGCTGGCTGGTGGGGCATGCGAGATACCCGGGCCCACGTGTCGGTGAGAGGAGGATTTCTGGAAGAGAGGAGCGCTTCGCTTCGCGTGGGGGGGGGGGGGGGGGGGGCAAACGCTCGCATTTGCCACTCCTGGCGAGGCAAAGCCTCTCCAACTTTCTCCTAACGAAAACCACGCCACGAGAAGGAAGTGAGCCAACGACGCTGGAATTTTTTGAAAATTTCAGAGAAAATTTACCGGAGGAGTTCGAATTTCTTTCGGGTATGAGGAGGAGAGTTGCACTGAGCACGGCGATTGCGTTGTTAGTGGGTGCTCAATTATGTGTGGCGGCGGAGGTGGAGGTCGCCGGCGCCGGCGGTGGGGTTGTGCGGCGGCGGTCGCTCCACCAGCCGTTCTTCCCAATCGAGTGGTCGCCGCCGCCGCCGATGTCCGGGAGCGAGGCCGTCCCGCCGCCGCCGCCTGCGGCCGCGGCGTCGGCCACCACCGGCGGGGGGCGGTCGACGACCACCGTCATGAACACCGTCGCCATCGCGCTCTCGGCGGGCCTCGTGGCGCTCGCGGTGGCGTCCTACTCCTGCTGCCTCCTGCTGCGGCGACGACGACGCGAGGAGGAGGACGACGGCGACCGCGCCGCGAAGCGGGCGGTGGGGGCGGCGGCGGCGGTGGCGGCGAGAGTCCCTAGCGATGTCGGGAGCAGCTCCCGCCAGCACCGGTCGCCGCCGCCGAGCTCGACGGCGTCGGACGCGATATACCTCGACCCGCTCACGACGCTGGTGGAGGTGCGCCAGCACGAAAAGAGCCCGGACCTCCGCCCGCTCCCGCTGCTGAAGCAGCCGAGCCCTGACCTCCGGCCGTTGCCGCCGCTGAAGCGGCCGGAATCGCAACCCCCGCCTCCGCCACCGTCCACTCCGCCGTTGACCACCACGGGGTATTCCACCGACGAGGAGGACCAGGCCACGTACTACACCGCGCCGAAGACCGCCATGTCGTCGTTCAGCCGGAGCACGAGCCAGCACAGCACGCTGGAACAAACAGCCATGCCGCCCATGGCCGCGCCTGCACCGCCGCAAACCAATCCCCCACGACCTGTTCGTCCGCCACCGCCGCCGCCCCCGCCGAGGCAGAGGCTGCTCCGGCCGCTCCCGGCAGAATCGCCGCCGCCCGCCGCGCTGGCCAATCTGGAACTAACCGGTTCCCCCGTCAAACCCGCTGTTGAAGACAGGGGAGGCGAGAATTCCGGCGCCGCGCGGCCGCCCAAGCCGCCGCACCTGAAGCCGCTGCACTGGGACAAGCTCCGGGCAATCTCCGGCCGCACCACCGTGTGGGATCAGGTCAAGAACTCCGACACATTCCGGTGCGCCCCCCTCTCTTCACCCCCCCCCCCTCCATTCTTCCACATTACCCCCATCTCTCTGTTTCAACTGAGCTGTCTATCGATGGCGCGGCAGCGTCGACGAGGAGGCGATGGAGAGCTTGTTCCTGAACAGCGGCGGCGGCGGCGCGGGGAGCTCGGACCCGGCGGCGAGGAGGGGGGGATCCGGGAAGCAGGAGAGGCGGTTGCTTGACCCGAAGCGGCTGCAGAACGTCGCGATCATGCTCAAATCGCTCAACGTGGCCGCCGACGAAGTGATTGGTGCACTCGTGCGTGGTGAGATTGTGCTCTCAATTTCTTACTTCTCGCATGACGTATGTGGTGTTTGGTCCCCTACTACTGTGTCATTGTGGAATTTATCAATTACTACTACTGTTATGTGCTATGCTCTCTGCAATTCCGGTGGCCACATGTCATTGCACAGTAGTACAATCTAGTCACTGTTAAATTAAGCACACAAACATATAGTACCTGACAAGTGATTTGGTTTGTTTTTTTTTTTGGAAGATGAGTAAGCCTGTTTGGTTTCTGGGGCAAAAAAAATTCTCAGAATTACCTTACTGCTATCAGAGAAGGAAATGAAAGATGAGCTAAATGGGAGAAATTCCAGCTTTTTGACTGTACTTAATTTTCTACTAGATGCTAGGTTAGCATAATTTATCAATTCACTCTGTGCTACCGTTGAATTTCTGACTCTTCTATTCATCTGAAATCGACAATGAAAGTCGGGGCATCTGTATGCCACAAATCATAAATCACATGTCAGTATGCCACCAAGACCTCAATGTCCTTACAAAATCATATTTTTAGTAATCTTGTTGACTGAACGGCAGTTTTTGAGATATTTAACTCTGTACTCATCACTATAATCAGTAAATATTTCTAGAAGTGTCACACTGTTCTACACCAACGCACAAATTATACCTGAAGGTTCTCGAAATTTCAGGCATAAGCAATTGTCGTATTGCTCACCTAACAAATATGGGAGTACATGCCTAGCATACCAGGGAATCTCTCTCCCTCTCCAATCCCCCAACATGACACCTTTTCCTTTAATTTTGATGTGAACTGATAGAGAAGGCTCCTATACTTGTCCTGCATTTTGACCTCCATTGTCACATTCAATTATATTTTTGGTGGGGGGTTACTTTCATAATCAAATTTTCTGGATGTAATGCGTTCCAACAAGGATAATTTGTGCACCATAAGTCCGATGATTACATGGCAATGCTGTGTTTGTTCCAAATAAGCTTCTATTGGTTGATGTTAAGTTTCTAGAGCTGAGATCCTGGGACTGTGGGTGCAAGTGACTGGACTGGAGTATCACTATGCGATGAAACATGGACGTTTTCTTTTTGTTATGTAACTTTTAATTTGTTGGTACATATACTTTTGTGAATAGCCAGTGATACAGTCTGTTGCCAAAAATATATTTTTAAAGAAACAGTGATGTAGCATCATTGGTCATGTCATGTTAGGCCATGGTGAGATCAGTAGGCAGATTGTGACATGGATAGAATAGGCGAGATGCATCTTTCACAAAGACACTAGTGCTTTACCTTTTCGTGTCTGTTCTGTATTGTGATAATGTTATATTACATGTCTGTATTTTCAATGTGATAATAGCTGCATTTACTAGTGGCATGCACACAGATGAGCTGTCAGTTGCTTTAGAACTTCTGCACTATTAGTTTGTAGAACGTAGATTATGAGGACTTCCTTGCCAATTTTCATTATCCAAATTAAACTTACATCTTCATTTCAAGGTTTGTTTTCTCATTTTATTCATCACAAACCATCAACTTCTCTCTTATATTGGCCTACAGACGTGTCACTCGTTTATCGTTTGAGCTGGAAATAATTGGTGATATAATTTCTATTATTTTTTATTGTGAATATGTTAACACAATATTCTTGAGTTTATCATGTCCAATTTGTGAACCAGGATTCTATAGGTTTTGTGAGTTACTAATCCATTCTTAAAGTAATTGAATAACAAATTAACTTGGTTGATATTACATACATTGCTCATTGTTAAAAAAGGACAGTTGAAATTCTTGTACACCGAAACAAATCTGGTTGAATTATAGAAGTGGTTGTAGTAGGTCTAAACGTCTAGTTTCATCAATGCCTTACTGTCAAGGGACATCCCTTACCAAACTTAGGTGTTTTATTGCCTGATCTTGAATAGTACAATCATCTTTCAGGTTGTTATTTGACCATCTATATATGCTAAGAAATATGTTTTCTTTTTGTAGATAAAGGCATATTGCATTCCGTACTAAAAACTACATATGTCATCATGATAAGCATGTCACATTCCGTGCTATAAACTCCATCATATGTCATGAGTGATAAGTTGTCAGAGATCACGACTGTGTTGGGAGGCTAACTACCAGTGAACGCTATTGATTATTGTTGTTGGTGTACAAATAAAATTCAGTAGAAACCATAACTGAATTGTTGCTTCTTTACCCATGCACAGTGACTTATATCCCCAGATTTTCCTATTATTTCTATTGTTAGGCGTCTCGCCCGGCGAAAAAAATTTTTGCCCGGCGAAAATTGTTAGGCGTCTCTGTATGTGGTTGGTATACATCAACTAGAATTATGAATGCTGTGAACCTTTGTGGGATTATTTAATCATCACTGTTACGTGCATGCACGGTTTCCTTAGGGAATTCCTATTATAGAAAAGGTTAATGCTGTGTATGCTACAGTAGTGGGCCTATGATGCAGTTGTTTTCTTATGATGTCACATGGAAACATTCATTGGCTATGTTGGATACTTGGATCCAACAACTTCCATTCCAACTGGAGTATTTGTTTATTGTCCAGAGCCAACATATCTCATCAATAGTTCAATACATTTGGCGTGATATTTAAAACATAGTTGACAGTACTCAGTGAAAACTCTTGCATAACTGCATTACTTTTTGGAGTATGAATGATGCAACTTTTGCCTGATTTAGTTATAAATGTTTTAATCTGTGTTACCAGGAAATCCTGAAGATTTAGGATCTGAGTTCTATGAAACACTAGCTAAGATGGCACCAACAAAAGAAGAAGAATTGAAACTAAAAGGTTATAGTGGCGATTTGTCAAAAATTGATCCAGCAGAGCGCTTTCTGAAAGATGTACTTGGAGTTCCTTTTGCCTTCGAGAGAGTGGATGCGATGCTGTACAGAGCAAATTTTGACAATGAAGTGAATTATTTAAGGAAATCTTTTGGAACATTGGAGGTAAAATAGCTATGATGATCTTATCATTCCATGAAGCTTACAATACTTCCTCCATTTTACCTACCAATTATATCAAATTACCAACTGTTTAGATATTATTCTCTTCTCTTAAAAAATGTAAATTTAAGATAGGTGTTTTCATGCTTCACAAAAGATATGCCACACATTCTAAGTTTCTCACCCGTGATCTGTCCCCAAAAAAAAAAAAATCAAATAGATCACTTATCAAACTTCTGAATTCTCAATTATTTTGGAGTAAAATGTAATATTCCTTCAGAAATCTTTCAGGCAGCCTGTGAAGAGTTAAGAAGCAGCAAACTTTTTTTGAAGCTGCTAGATGCAGTTCTAAAAACCGGGAACCGCATGAATGATGGAACCAATCGAGGCGAGGCGAGGGCTTTCAAGCTTGATACTCTCCTAAAGCTTGCAGACATCAAGTCAACAGATGGTAGAACGACATTGCTTCACTTCGTGGTTAAAGAGATCATCCGATCAGAAGGCTTCGATTCTGATCAGAGCGCGGTTAATCCTGGCAGCGGCAGCAAGGAACAGTTCAAAAGGGACGGCTTGAAATTACTTGCAGGGCTCAGCAGTGAGCTCTCCAACGTGAAGAGAGCGGCCACACTGGAGATGGACACACTGAGCGGCAACATCCTGAGGCTCGAAGCCGATCTCGAGAAGGTGAAGCTTGTCCTACAGCTCAAGGAGACTTGCTCAGATCAAGGCGCGAGCGAGAACTTCTTCCAGGCAATGGTTGTCTTCCTCAGAAGAGCAGAGGCAGAGATCAAGAACATGAAAACCGCAGAGGAGAACGCGTTGCGCCTCGTGAAGGAGACGACGGAGTACTTCCATGGCGACGCCACCAAGGAGGAGCCTCACCCTCTGAGGATATTCGTGGTGGTGGATGAATTCCTCCTGATACTGGACCGTGTTTGCAGGGACGTCGGCAGGACGCCGGAGAGGGTGATGATGGGCTCCGGTAAGTCGTTCCGCGTCCCTGCAGGTACCTCATTGCCGCCTCATCGGAATGAGAACCGGCGAGTTCTTAGCTCCTCCGATGAGGACAGCTCGTCATCTTAGGAGCAAACATTTTTGGTGCATAGGTTAGCTGATAAGATTTGAGAGTAGTGATTCTTCCGGAGCTGAACATTGTGGTGTATAGACTGTAATCACCGTCAGAAATAAGGGAGTCGTCACTGTCTGTCACTGTTAAAAGTAGATGTTTACCAAAGCTAAAGAAAGGTAGCTGTACAAACTACAAAGGCATTCAGTATTATGGTAGTATGTTCTTACCATTCAGCTCAAATAGCATCTGTTTGAGAATTATCATATTAAGAGAAAATATATTTGTTGGAAGTGTAACTTCAGTTTTCTTTTCAATATAGTCATGTTACCGCTGAACAAATCTATGCAACCTTTGAACAAGTCATGAACAGATTTCGTGGTCGAAAGTGACAATTCAATTATCAGCTCGGTAGCGTCATTTTAGAGAAACTAGCTGTTGCGCGGCCACTACCCAAACAAAATCATATATTTTTTAGTATGATTTTACTTAAAATTTATTAAATAGCTATCTCATTGTCTTAAGACTTTAAAAGACCAAACCTTATCATCCTCGCGTTTCTAATTATATAGTTTTTAAAAGTCACACCATTTGCTACCCCTTATGTCATCTCATTCTTTATTTGCTTGCTCGATCTACCACTATTTCTATTCATTCTTCTTGGAACCTTTAAAAATTGGATTTTATAGTTTTTAGAGTTTATTGTCATGTTGGGTTTCGTTTTTATAATTTCTATATGTCCCATCAAATGTTGCCATTATATTCCTCTACGGCCCGTCCACTGTTTCTTCTCTTTGTTGTTATTGAGATTTTAAAAATCGAACATAATTATCGTTTGGGTTCATTTTTACTTTCTAGAAGTCCCGCCAAATCATCAGCGGCTTTGCCATTGTACTCCTCTACGGCTTGCCCGCTGCCTCCCCTCTTTATTGTCATTGAGATTTTAAAATTGAACATGATTATCATTGGGTTTTTTTTTACTTTTTTGGAAGTTCCAAACCTTTAAAAATTGGACTTGTAGTTTTTTTTATAATTTTTAGAAGTTCCATCAAACGATGCCACTATGCCCCTCTACAGCCCGTCCATCGCCTACTCTTTATTGTCATTGTGATTCTAAAAATCAAACATAACTATCGTTGGAATTTATTTTTTATTTTCTAGAAGTCCCGTCAATCGTCGGCGGCTCTACAACTATACTCTTATACACCCCGCCCGCTGCTTCTCCTTTTTATTGTCATTGAGATTTTAAAAATCGAATATGATTATCAATAGGGTTTATTTTTTTTACTTTCTAGAAGTCCCAACAACTGCTTTACTTGTTTGCTTCATGGCATGCCTGGCGCCCCTCCTTTTAATCGTCATTAGGATTCTATTTGGTGTTTTATTAATAATTTTTATATGTCGTATCAACCGCCACCACTCTACTCCTTTATAGGTATATTACTTAATTTATCTCGTCATGTGTTTTATATGGTTTTTTCTTTCAATAGTCTTTATTTTTATCACAAATTTTAGTTATTTATAAATTGTATTCCTAATTGAAATCTTATTTTTCTTTTTTCTAATTTCAGAATTTATTTTTTAAAAAATTAGTTAATACCGTATTGTGTTCTTTTAATGTTTTTATTTTTTATTTTCAATTTCAGTTGTTTCAAAATTGTATTCCTACTTGAACTCTCTTTTAATTTTTCTAATTTTGGATATTATTTTATTTTTTATTCAAAATTTTAATTAATTTCATATTGGGTTCTTATATGGATTCTTCTTTCAATATTGCTTATTTTTAATTCCGAATTTCAGCTAATTTTAAATTGTATTCCTACTTAAACTCTTCTTTTATTTTATTTTGCTAATTTTGGATTTATTTTTATTTTTATTCTGAATTTTAATTAATCTTGTATTGGGTTCTTATATGGGCTCTTCTTTTAATATTCTTTATTTTTAATTCCGAATTTCAGCTATTTTTAAATTGTATTCCTACTTGGACTCTCCTTTCCTTTTCTAATTTTAGATTTTATTTTATTTTTATTTCAAATTTTGATTAATCTCGTATTGGGTTCTTATATGGAAACTTCTTTCAATATTGCTTATTTTTAATTCCGAATTTCAGTTATTTTTAGGTTGTATTCCTACTTGGACTCTCCTTTTCTTTTCTAATTTTGGATTTTATTTTATTTTTATTTCGAATTTTGATTAATCCTATATTGGGTTATTATATAGAAACTTCTTTCAATATTGCTTATTTTTAATTCCGAATTTTAGCTATTTTTAGATTGTATTCCTACTTGGACTTTCCTTTTATTTTTTTTCTTTTTCTCCGATTAATGTGGGAATTTCTAGCCTCCATAGCGAATGTGGTGCCTCCTTTTCGAGCTGTCTTAATAATATAATAGATTTTCAGTCAGTTAGTGCTATTTGGAGAAATTTTCAGTTGAAAGAAGGATTGGGGTGCGTTTGGTTCTTTGCCAAACCTAACCAGGTAACCAAAATTTAAGCATTGCTATTTTTTTCGGTTTGGTTGATTTTATTGAGTTACATTTACCGATCACTACAATCCAAAAGATTAAGGAATTAAATTTGAAAATATACTATTCATTTAATTTTTTCTCAGTAATATTCGGGATGTAAAATTTTTTAGGGAAATATACCGTCGGTCTCGCTCAACCGTTAAGCGAAAGTGACGTGGGAATGACGTCGCAGGCGGTATCGCTTAGGGAAAGCGCACTTTCGCGTAACGGTTGTGCGAGACCGACGGTATATTTCTGTAAAAAAATTTGTATCCCGAATATTCGTGAGAAAAAAAATCGAATGACCAATATATTTTCAAATTTAATGCAAAGATTAAGTTGATGAGAAACGACGAGCAATTTATTTTATATCCTAACACTAACACACGTGAGGCAAACAATTTATTTTGTACTCAGTTACTTTCCCAAAACTTTGGCAATAGCCAACTCTTGCCATTGCCAAAAAAAATTGGCTAAGACTACAAACGACACCAAACCAACAGGCTGTTGGAGATGTTTGGACTTGACCTGAACCGTCCACATCTTATGGGCCTCTATATTTGGGCCTTACATTTTCCCAACCAAAATAACAATACGAATCTTGATGGGAAGTTTAGACGGCTGAGATTTCGCGGTAACCGCCATTCAAACCCGCCACCGAGTTCCCCGCCCCAAACTCCGCCCCGCTCTCTCCGAACCATCAAACAATCTCGCACCACTTTCTCTCTCTCTCTCTCTCTCTCTCTCTCGTCGCGTGTCGTGTCGTCCGGAAATGCCGCCGGTGTCGTCGTCGACGTCGAGGCCGGCGTCGCTGCCGTCGTCGCCGCACAGGCCGGCGCTCCGGCCGGGCAGCCTGCAGCGGCTGCTCCGGCCGCCGGACCCCTCCGACGACGACGGCGCCGCCCCCACGGCGCCCCGCTCCTCCCGCGGCGGCGGCCGCGTCCTGCTCCAGGTCACCAACATCACCCCCGCGCTCTCCGGCGCCAACCCTTTCTCCGGCCACCACGGCTTCTACCTCCGCCTCTCCGACTCCGCGCGCTCCTGCTACGTCTCCCTCCACGCCGACCACGACGACCTCATCCTCACCAACGGCCTCCACATCGGCCAGGTCATCGAGGTCGAGCACCTGGTGCCGTCCGTCCCGGCGCCCGTGCTCCGCCATTTCCGCGTCCTCCCCGGCCGCTACCCCTGCATCCAGCAGGAACCCGCCGACGACGCCGCCGCCGGCGGCGCCGCGGCGGAGATCAAGGAGGTCGTGTCCGAGCGCCCGCGCCGCTCGTCGCCGACGCCCCCCATCCCGGGCGAGAGGAGGGCGCGGCAGGCGGGCGGCGGCGGCTCCCCCTCTTCGATCAGCTACCGCCACAGGTCACGGTCGATATCGAACTTGTCGGAGGCGGGCGCGGCGGCGAGGAGGAGCGGCGCCGCCGTCCTGGGGAAGCTGAGGAAGGTCAGCGTCACGTCCATCGACGGCACCAGCACCGACGACGACGACGAGGAGTCCGACGTGTCGTCGCTGTCCTCGGCGAGGAGGAACTGGGATTTCACCGGAGGCGTCAAGGACAGGAGGCCCGTCGCTCCACGGAGACGCGGGAACAGCGTAAATCCATTTCTTTGAATCTCCCAAAATTTCGCGCCAAATAACACACAAATTGCAACAAATCAAAGCTGATTCGGTCAATTTTTGGTCTATCATTTAGGTTTCTCCAAGTAAATCCGGCCCAAACTCTACTATCACGCAGAATGATGATCCGATGGAGTCGGTGAGGAGGAAAGCCGAGAAGGCATTCAACGTGCTCTCCAAGAGGGCGTCTGCTAAGATGACCAGAGAAAGCTCTAATTGCACGGTGGCGACGCCGCAGAGCGCTGCGGCGTCGAGCAGCATCAAGTGGTGTGAGAGCAATGTGATGTGGAGCACACTTTCATCAAGCTTGCTGAAGCATGGAAAGGTATACTGGTATATCTCCCTAGTTGATTCTACTGCATTTTTTTTTGCTTGGTTCTGTTCTTTCAACAAGTTAATTCTGGTGATTATTGTTTGCCCCCAATTGCAGGAAGCAGTGAAGCAGAGAGATATGGCACTGCAGGCTGTGCTTGATGGATTGCTAGAGGCATCTACCACTGAGAAATTGATAAAATGCCTGAGGTGAGTGATGTTTAGAGCTTATGTAGAATTGGCGAGAATGATTGGGTGAAAATTTTACATGAGGATTGAGAAATTTGGGAATAATACAGTCTGTTAGAACAGTAAATTTGATTGATATCTGATTTCACTTAATTATAGAATTGTATGATCAAGTTTCTATACTTGTAAATAACATTGCACCATGTAATTGATAGTTCATTTCCCCCTCTTTTTGCAGTACTTACTCTGAACTACAATCTGACAAGGAAGAAAACCCAAAGGAGCTCATCGACAGGTTCTTGAAATTCTCTCAGGAACTGGATCATGCTATCTTCATCGCCCAATCACAGACCAAAATTAGGCATGTAAAAGCATGTGGTTCCAATTCAACATCCTCAGCTTCAACCAAAGCTGCTTTGAAGGCTGCATTGGATAGGAAGCAGTCTGCCATCTTATGGATCAGAGAAGCCATTGAAGCAGACCTCTCACCTTTTTCTAGCCATACAAGACCCACTGAATCACCAAAGCTATCACTGGCAGAGTCAAAGCCTATGACCCCATTGTTCTGTTGTTCCAAGCCAAAGTGCAACTGCAGCAAAAGGTCCTCAAGGAAAGCATCTGATGGTTCCTCTCAAGGAAGTAACATGAGTGCTGCCATGGACCTGGCTGTAGCACTGAGATCAGAGTGCAACTGTTGGTTCCTCAAGTACATCGACAAGTTCTTGGACGATATCGAAAGCGAGACCATGTATGCACCATGTGATTCCCAAGTTGCAGGCCTTCTGCAGCAGCTTAAAAGGGTGGATGACTGGCTCAACCGTGTCGCGCTACATGAGAGGATGCTTTCGGTTGACCGAACAAACAAGGATATCATGTTTTCTGAAGAAGAGGAGAGCGATGCGTGCGAGAGGGTACGGAGAAAGATTTATGGAGCCCTTTTAAGGCATGTTCAATATGCTGCAATGGCGCTAGAAGGTCTAAATGGTGTAATTGATGAAGAGAAGGACGAGAGAAAATAACAGTAACTGTGCAAAGAGCTTTATCAATATATAGAATGAACAAATAAATTTTGTGTAGCTGCAGATAATATAAGTTTACCATCGTCAGAATTCTAGCTGGTAGAAGCATGTTAGGCATAACTTCCAAATGCTGTCTGATAAATGTTGGATGCTCTGATGGTATTGTTGCAACTATTGCTAATCTTGTCTGTGATGAGACATGGCATCCAAAAACTAACAATTGCCTCAAGTGCGACTTTAAGGCCATGAAAGATCTGAATAGTACTATTGGTGAACCTAAGTAGGACATTGAAACAAAGCTGAGGATATCTGGTGCAATTTACACTCTGATCAATTACTTGCTACACTTGTCATTACATACTTGCATACATGCTCATGACTGCATCTCACATTTCATTACATGTTCTTCGGTACATTTCAATTTGTGTTGATGTACTGGTGATGTCAATTGTCAAGTGTACTGCCTTTTTCAAAGTTAGGGCCCCTTTGAATCAAAAGAATTATGAAGGAATTTTATAGGATTGAAATCCTATAGGAAATTTTCCTATGTAGCCCTTTGATTCAAAGGATTGAAGTTTTCCAAATCCTACAAATTTCCTATGGAATGGCTTATAGTATATAGGTTTTGGAGGAAACTTAGCAAGAGGTCCAACCTCTTGGAAAAAATCCTTTAAGTCTATCTCTCTCATCCGATTCCTGTGTTTTTCCTGTGGTCCAATCAAACGATCATTCCTATGTTTTTCCTGTGTTTTGCAATCCTCTGTTTTACGCTTACATTCCTGTCATAATCCTATGTTTTTCCTATTCCTCCGTCTTTTGCAGGGATGAAGCAAAGGGTTTACCCCTGTGTGTCTCTGGGTTAGTATGTGTACAACAAATTTTGAATTATTTTTTAGAAATTAGCCTACCTAGTACCTCTCTTTTGATAGGATTAAGCTTGTATTATTCCTGTCAATGTATATTTCTCTCTCAAAAAAATAAACAAGGTATAGGATTAGTGTTACAAATGCCAACACTGTGACATGAAAAATACTCATCTCAAATGGAAGTCAATCATATCACTTGATCTTTGATCATTAACATGATCATGATTACTTCTTCTTATGGCTTTATGGTAAATGCCAAGTAGTAGGAAGAAAAATGAATAAAGTTACATTACATGTATGATATTTGGGACTATATGGGCCAGAATCAATTAATCTCTATGCAATTCAATGTTAGCTCTGTATATCCGAGGCGATATTATTTTTGCAGAGAAGAGATGTTCAGATCAATATTGCTGATGTTGACTCCATTGTAAGCGATTGGTGCATACATCCACGTGTCATCAGAGCTTAGCAACTGCACATGATAGTTTGCAGCAAAGTTAGGAAGGTATTTCACTTACTGTTTATAGAAAAATAATTTGGTTATTAACAATCCTTGGCTAGATGACAATGATATGTAATGTACCCACCTTAATCTGAAGTTGCAAAAATTTGACATACTGCACTGCTTCCTCCAGCATTGTACTGATGTCAACCTGTCAGATCATACTTATCAAGTTACACCCAAATTTCTTTGTACCAATTATCATGCTCAAATGTATGAGGCAAAAACTTAGTTATTGCCTGTAGTTAAGTTTCATATTGAGCTTACCTTTGTTCCATTGGGAACCAAGTTCTGCAGGATCCTCAATCTTTCATTGATCCTCTCTCTCCTCTTCTGTAGAACGGACAAATTTAACCTCATCAGAATTCCTTGAATCACTTTGTCATTTTTTTTACACATTTTATTTTATTTGTACTTACCCTTGCATAGAGACTCTGGGGATCGGTTGCCGCCCCACGGTTGGCCCTAGTACCCATCTTCTTCGAGCTCGGCTTCGCGTTGCCCTCCAGGTTTCCTTCCTCTGAGGTGCAACTGCTAGAACTTTGCGTATCAATGTAGGTGTTGCCGCCTTCGTCGCTGCCAATAGGATCTTTTTTGCCAGCCTTCTTGCTCTTCTTTGATGCCTGTATCAGTTCATCAATCCAATTAGGCATGGAAAATAAAACAGCATGGTAACTGAAGTAGATCACTGTTCTATTAAGTTATTTGCAGGGGCATACCGTCATGGCAGCACTAGACTTCCTCTTGGTAGCCACTGGTGTAACAACCTTTGTAGCTTCTTCCACTCTTGCTGATGGATGGTTGCCATGTGGAGGGCTGATCAGATCCTCAGTAAGGTAGGGGATGGCGCAATGCGCGTCGAGATCGGCGATCGGGAACGGATCCATGACCGGGAACTCAAAGCTTCCATAGCTATGAGCTGGATCAGGGAAGCTGGTGACGCTAGAGCTATGGCCATGCTGAGGCCAGCATTGTGGAGGCACATCGTAGTTGAGACAACCAGAAGAAGAATTGGAGTCGGTGTCAAGGCCAGGCAAGAACATCGCTGCCATTGCCTCCATGGACTCATCCATTTGCTCGTAGGTGAAGCAGTGATCACCATGAGCTCCAAGAAACTGCGCCATCGCGTCGGCCTCGATCAACGGCACCGCTGATGTGTATGATCTCTCCATTTCAGCAAGGTGAAAAGGCCTCAAGGCAAAGAAAAGCACTAGCTTAATTAGAGAGATGCTGCCGCTATAGTCAGCTGCAATGGCTGAGTTGCTTCTGCCATGCGTGTGATGAGAGGGTATTTGTAGGGTGGGTGCAGCTGGGTGGCCACCATTGCTGACCACGAGGATGGAGACGCCACACAAAAACAATTAATCATCACCAATTGTTTCTTGTTCTTGGCAAAGAAATGTTATCTCCAATCCTCAGAGGTCAACCCCGTGGGGACGGTGCTATGTTTGATGGCGGCCGGATTCTTGATCTTGATATCGACAGTCCATAAACAAAACCAGCATGCGCAATTATGTCGCGGAGGTACGGCGAGTATTATTTATCTTCCAGGCAAGATTGGTATGATGGGGATTGTTTAGCCTTGAACCAAGAGATGCATTGGCCTCTGGCCATTTGCGCAATTACTACTCTCCCTTGTAGAACGTGGGAAGTGGTGGTGAGTTGAAGCGAGAGGCGGATGCAACGCAAGCAAATTAAAGATTATTGGGATTAAGCTCTTGTGTGGCTTGCTCAGTATCTAAAAAAGAGTTCTTGTGGATGCTGCATTATTGTGGTGAATGATCAGTAGATACACCAGTTCATGCCGTTGTGATCTCGTGCTTGCAATGGGAGCTGCAGAAACTACATATGTTGCCATTTCCTGCAACTTGGATAGCTGTCAGATCCTCAAGATGGGGGGAAGAACAGATTCCATTGCACGGAGCTGATGTTGCAACAAAAGTTCTTTTGTGCTCATTTGATCTTGCATAACCCATGTGGGTTCAATTATAACTTCAAGGTGTAATGTGAAGATTGTGGCAAGTCGTTTATATTTACAATAGGGATATTTGGTTATCATCACAATTGGTAAGTGGCCACCAATCTTTGTACTATGAACTAAACAGCAGTAATCAAATATGGATATAACTATGTAACTGTTCTCTTTTTCTTTTTCTGTTGATAAATGCTGACTTCTTTTTTGGGTGGAAGAATATGCAAAGTACAATCTCCATGTGAGACTTTCAGACTGAAAAAGGGTTTGCATCCGATCCAGGCAATGTTATTGGAAAAACAGAAAAAAAAAACTTATCTTAGCTCTATAGTACGGGATAGGTGGTTGGATCTGCAAAACTCAAATTAGTCTTAACTTCTAAAAAAACTATAACTAGGCATCAAGTTGCTTTTTGTATTTTCTGATCACTACATATGTATTTTTTTTTAATTAGAGTTCTACAGTTGATTCGTTGCTGTTTGTGACTTATTTCTGAACAGTATATTTGATATGGTGGTGTTCTTCTGAATGAATTGACAAGAGTTCCTACCCTTTTGCTTCAAAGAAACTCTTGCTTTGCAAATGTTTCATAAAATCAATTTAAATTCGTTCATTCTTTCACTTATATGAGATTATGAGCAGCAGATACATTTTTTAATGGGAGTATTCTGCACAGTTCAATAAGCCTAAAAATAATTAGCATTAGTTCCATTCCAGACAATTAAATATGCTTGTTCAGTACAGTTCAATAAGCCTAAAACAACTTTCAATAAACATAAAAGAATTATCACTAGAGTGAATTAAATATGAAAAATCGGTGATTGAATCTATTATACTATACATCCATCGAATTCTTTAGCTTACCATGCATCGTTATTTAACTAATCTCTGTAAATGATTACAACAATCAACTAACTTGAGCTATCCACTGATATAATTTACATTATATAACGTTATTAATGATAGTCTAAGTACTTTGTTTGTACTTATATTTCAATTAACCCTACAACTCGTTTAGTATAATCTTATCATGATAGACTAGTAGCTATTCTGAAATTTTGTTGCATGTACTTCTGAAGCACTCTTAAGGCTAAAATTATATCTCTCTCTCCTTAAAATATTAAGGGTGGCTCCAAGAAGGCTAGAAGTCAATGTACTTGCACCATCTCTTTCTCCAAGTTATCGCTTTTCAGTCATTGTTGGATCAATTGAGGCCACAATCTATTGTACTATTTCTCAAAATTGACTCACTTGATATATATTCTGCACCCAGTCTTAACTGGCAAAAACTGTACTACATTTGTGAGAAAAATTAGAGTATGTTGTCGGCTAGAGGTTAAAATAGGCGATATTTTGCACCTTGAATACTTGATGTTAGAATCAACTAGGGAAGAGAACAAATGGTGCTGCCAAAAAAAAAAAAGATTGTAAATTGCACGCAACTCTTTTGTCTTTACTCCAGACAGATTACTTACTGCTAACTCATTGTCAGCTAAGGCAGTTGACATTTGCTTACTATGATATTAGACTATTATTATTTTTAGATTATTAGTAATTAACAGAGAAATATGCATACATAAGGGTTTGTTTTCTTCACTAAAATTGGTTGACTCTCGGTTCATAAACAGAGAAGGAAGTTTCCTTAGTGTCATTAAAGTAGGTAAACAGATTTCTGACTTGTTAATAAAATGTACATTTGGATTTAATTATACCGACTTCCTCATGTGTTTTTCCTGTCATTCTGAGTGCATTGAACCTATATCAAAGTATGCACCTTTCCTCATTTAATTACAAAATTGAATAAGTCTAACAATAAAGTTTATGCTAAAATACACTGAACATTCTTAATTTTAGACAACTCTTACGAAAGAGTATTTCATAGTTGAGTTAATAATCCAGGAACAAAAAAAGCTTAGCCTTGGCTGTCACTCTTGTCACAAATCTAGGCAGCAGATCTTGTGTTGGAATAAAACCACACACACGGAATCGGTCAGCATTAGGCAGCACTCATGGTTCATTGCATTGGACGATAATTACCCTAATGCTTTCACTACTAATTAGCACTAAACCAAACTATTATGTATTTAATCCTACCAAAGGCTTCCCTGATCCATGGCAATTATCAAAATGATAAACTTAGTGGTTTTGATGCTAAGATGCAGTACTACTGTACTGCTTAAGAATCAATGACATGAATTATATTAACATATCAAGAAGATGCACGTACTCCCCTGCAGAACAGAAGGATTATCGAAATTGGGGTCCAAGTTGTTTAATGATTATTCGATCCTTGTCATGCTTTGACATGATTAAACTACCTAACCACCAATCCCTAACCACCTAGCATCTAATTAAACTCCTTGTCTGATGTAACTAACAGGATTGCATAAAGTAATCAATCAAGTACAACTCCATGGACCAAAGCAGAAACAGAAAAACAATTGTTGAGTTTACTAAGAACACTAGACCAACTTGCAGATCTTAGCATAACACGTAATCAGACGGGGGGAAGTGGCTATTGCTGGCTCTATCCTGCTTGGGTTCTTTGTTTTTTTTAGGCCATCCTCTTGTTGAGGTTACTGGAATGATGATGCAGAGTGTGCAATATTGTTTTATATAAAAAGGACGCTTTAGTACAGTATTGCCCTTTATTAGACAATTGCCCTTTATTAAGCCTCGTGTTGCATACGTACTTAAGCATACTGAGTACTTAATTAGCTCCTGCTTATTATAGCCTAAACTTTTTTTTTGAACGACTCGCACGAGACAGTGCGAAGTTCTATTGATAGAGCAGAAAAAAATTACAAGATTACGGTCCTGGAGGGTCGTAGCCAGGAAAAGGAAAAAAAATACCACCACCCACGCACCGACATCACCAACACACAAGCCCAGGAGAAGGCTAGCACCGGACCGGCCGCCGCTAAGCGTGACCGACCGCCACTAGACCGACAAAGGGACACAGACGAGATTGCCCCCAAGGGGATGCCAGAACGACGTCTTCAAGAAGAGAAGCGACGGAAGACCGCCGCCGCCGTCCGTTGGGACTCAAAGGAGCCAAGACTGAGCTTTCACCAGGCAAACGCCCTCAGGAGGTGAGACAGCACGACAATGCCCTCAGGAGGGTGATCATCGTTGTCGGTCCGGCCGAGGCCGGACTAGGTTTTCACCCGCCGCTCACCACCTACGAATCCACGGCTGACGCACCAAAGCTCCACCACCACACTAGCGTCATAGCCTAAACTTCTGGTTAGCATACAAGATATTCTACAAAGCAGAACCAAAATTTTCATTTCTTGATCCTATCGTCATTTGTATAAGCAAGTTCCAATGATCAAATCCTGGTTCTGTTGAAACCACAGCAGTTCAGTTCACAAACGTCAGAGGCTGCTTACAAGCTTCCTGGAACAACAATAATGTAAACTATGCAAAATCAGCAGAAAACCTTTTTCTTCCTTGAAAATGGTTGGTAAAACGAAATTCACTGTGCAGCCTATAACTTGTCCGGTTAATCCCTACAAGTAAGGAATCGAAGATGATTAATTTCACACCTATTAAGATTCCAGCAACACTATTAATTTATCGTCCCGTTCTTTTCTCTAAAGATACAAATTTTACTCGGTTTTCGTTAGTATGTTTTTTAAACTACTCAACAGTGTATTTCGTGCGAAATTTTTTTTATATGAAGGTTGTTTTAAAATATTAGATAAATCCATTTCTTTAAAACTTAATTAATTGATAGATTTCTTGTTTTGTGTGCTCTAACGTTATATTCGTATCATATCTTACTATAAAGTTATTCCCCACTAACTCCTTAAGCTTAACATGCAAAGATGCCACATCATCATCCACTAATTAACAAGATGCCACATCATCATCCACTAACAATCATCACATTTAAACATCATGCAAACATGCTATATCTTTATAGTTTTTATAATTTAAGAACTTTTCAAATACAAACATGTTAAATTATCATCCAACATAATTCACATAATGTTTTAATGTATATCTTTATTATGTGTTATGATATCCTATATACTTATATAGTTCATCCTCACTTAGTTAGTGCTTAAATGATTAATCTCTGGTACAAATTATCTTTCTTCTTTTTTCCTCTAATTAAGTCATATCACATCAATTGTTTTTAGCATTTAGATGATTAATCTACGGTCCGAACTATCTCCCTACTTTTTTTTCTTCCATAAAGTCATACCACCTTACTTTTTACATTTGAATCACCATTCTACATACTATTTAAATTTAAATTATCATAAACCACATTAATTTACTTAATCTGATGTTATCTAGCTATCTTACACGCTAATTTTTTTATTGTTATCACACTAAATTCCCGTAGCAATGCGTGGGGTTTCAGCTAGTACATTACAAAAGAACATATGGCGGCTTAGACTTAAACTCCCTAAAGGTTAATAATGACAATTTCGACAAAAAATCGTCCTTATTAATTCCATGTTACTCTTGAAAGCGTTTAAAGGGAAAAAAATAGTCACTCCCCATGATCATAGATATAAAAACCAGACAGTCACTTAATAATTCTTGCAGAAGAGAAGTTCATAATAATCCCATTTCCTTAATAGCTTAGTCCTATTTTGATTCAGTACGATCAACAATGGCGATAGTGTCATGATACCTCATTAACTACACCACTAATCCACTAACTACTCACAAACCGATCTTGAAATAAAAATGCTAGAAACCGAATATATATAATTTCGATATGTAATTAATGCCGGTTGAGTAGCTAGAAAGTGGGAAATCCCGGCTTACGTAACATTGCTTTATCTAAGATCCTAAGATAAACATTCTTGTTTTTCTATTCAGCACGTGTAATGATCATTGCTAGCTCCGTTTCCAAGAATTCTGATATTTTCACATTTTTCTGGAGCTCTGAAATTTTATTTAGAGTTCTCACAACAAATAATCTCCATGTTCTAGAATTTCAATATCTTCAAAGCATATACCAACAAATAAGAAAAAAAAATACAGAGTTCTTCTTTTGCAGGAAATTGCCGTCAAACTTAGTGATGGGTCTTTGCTCATAATTCAGTAGTAGACAATAGTGACATTTTTCTTAGATAATTAATCTCCATTACAAAAAGTTTGATTTAAATTACTTTAGTTGGACAACTGAAGCAAGTTCTTGGGACTTAGCAGCAGTCGGCATGGACAGCAAACCTTAGCCACGACACACACTGAAGAAAGACAAATCGATGGTGCCACCTAACAACATTTCGATTTCTTCAGGTACAGATATTCCAACTGGCAATATGGGTAGATTATGCATATGAGTCATATGTGACAGGCAAATATAATCAAATTATGCGAGTTAATTTAGTTTCCTTAGAAAAGTAGAGATGAACATATGCTGGCGATAGTTAATACCACTAGAATCCTCGAGATATTTCTTGCTTTTATTTATTAAGACAGCTATTCATGGAGAACTGGTTTTTAATTAAGATTAAAGCTAGCTTTCATGGGGAAGAGAGGACTAGCTATAGGGAGCAAGAATTCCGAGTGCCACTAGAGCAAGTTGAAGTTGGTGAGATCTACTGCATTTTTTAAACTCAATCAGATCCTAGTATTAATGAGGTTTTAGATGCAGATATACACCATTTGTCATGCTCGGCTTCCAGGTCCTTGATCATTGTGTTTCCCCAGGTATCATATATCTGCGTGGAACACATCCTATAAAAATATTTCAGTTCTGTGGACTAAAATTGCTTCAATGATCTCTGAATTCCTAAATGCAGAATTACAGTATCAGTCAAATCTTCATCCTATGAAATTTGTTTGTCTTAATTGTACATGGAATTTATGAACTAGAAATTTCTAGTTGGTGAACCCAAGAGTCCAAGTTCAACTTGTCTAAACCATACGGATTAATCTTTCTGTTTCATATTTTTACTAAAATGCAAAGGACACAATCATGCCATAGAACATGATTTCCTTGCATTTTCAGAGACCAATTGAACCGGTGGAATATAGAGAATTCACACAAATTCGACGAATTTCCCCTATAACATATGCTTATCCAAATATTTGAAATGCGAAAAGATTTTTTTTTGTTTCTACAGGTATTTAGCTAATTCCCCATTATCTAAAAAAAATTAGCTAATTCCCTCATGAAATTTATAGGTTCTTATAGATTGCGTAGCTAATAGAGGAAGGAAATGTACTTATCTACACCATTTTCAATATTTTTAACAAATAATGTTCCACAAGTTTTCTACGAGTACATTCTTAGAGCTTTATTCGGTTTGGAGGAATTTCAACCATAAAAATAGGGAAAATGGAGAAATAGAAATGCTTGCACACTTCAATCCATTGGAATTTTTTAAAAGGTTGAAGTGGATGAAAATTTTCCTATAATTATTCCTCTACAACTTATAAAAAAAATTTCCTTCGGTTTTCCTATACTGACATTCCTTGGTGACATTTCTGAAAGCAGCAGACTGAGTTCCCTTTAATTAGGCACTGGATTTTACAAAACGGGCCGAATTTAGTCGAGTGAACTCGAGTACAAGCCCATTTTTTCTAGGCCCAACAGATATAACTCGCAGCCCATCTCACGGCGAGGAGCGAGCTAAACCAGCCGGCCTTTCCAGAAGCTTCTCCTTTATATAAACCCTCGCCCCGCCAAATCCCCACCGCTCCAAATTTCGAAAACCTCCTCCTCCCCTCCTCTCCCCCACCACGAGACCTCGCATCGAATCCTTCCTACCCTAGCCAAATCATCGCCGCCGGCATGAGCACCGCTCCCACCGGCGATCCGCCGGTCCGCGTCGCCGTCGCTAGCGGCGGTGGCGGGATGGGGTTGGGGAAGGAGCTGCGGGAGCCGCCGTCGGACGGCGTCTCCAGCCTCCGGTTCTCCAAGCACAGCGATCGCCTGCTCGTCTCCTCCTGGGACAAGGTGAGCTGGAGCAAAGCAATCACGCGCTCCGATCGGTCGGATCGGCGCCTCGCTGGTCGCGCGCGCCGCCGCTTGCTATTTGTTTGGGAAAAAAAGCAAACCCTAGCGTTTGGGTTGGTTTGATTTGATTTGATGATTTGATCCATGGGGTTTTGATGGGGGGAGCTTTGCTTTTGGTTGCGGGTGTGTTCGCCGTCCCGCAGACGGTGCGGCTCTACGACGCGGAGGCCAATGTGCCCAGGGGGGTGTTCATGCACGCGGCGTCCGTCCTGGGTTGCTGCTTTCACGACGACTCCTCGGGGTTCAGTGCCAGCGCCGACAACACCGTGCGGAGGTGATGCCGATCTCCTTCCAGTCCCGTTCGATTGGTTCTTCATTGAGCGATTCAGTTGAGATAACGGTTGCACTCTTAGTTCACTATTGTTTTGTGCTGTTCTGAATGGAATTGGGGCTTTCTGTAAACTAATCCTCCATTTCGCGGACGTACACTATGATGTTAAAAATAGGATATGGGGGTAATTTTAGGGTTTGATCATAGTATGTTACGAACTTGGATCAACGATCAGTATCAAAATTGTGCTAATTCATATTTTGCTTTTCTGTTAGTTCAGATCACTCATGTAAGTTGAAGCAAAACTGATGGCTTGTGTGTTCCTGGAACTTTTTTTTTTTTTGCAGGTTGGCCTTCAGTTCTGGTGGGAATTATTTCTTGGTACGCCATGATGCCGCAGTTAGTTGTGTCGAGTACTCCTACTCTACTGGTACCTGTTATCGCATTTTCATCTAGCTGAAAAGTGTCGTTGATTCACCCAACTTGAGTTTTTACTTTTTAGAGGAGTCCCTTCCGCCGACCTGGCAGTTTTTAGAGAAGTCGCTAGTTGAATTCATGATTAAGTTTCTAGATGAGGCAGGTCTATCTCTTGGAATTTGTTAATTTCATCCTAAAAAGTACTAGAGCAGTGGGATCAGAACATTTACTAGTTGATTTCATGTTTTAGTCCCTCCTGAGAAGGGTAATCCTATCCTAGTAAGCTGGTTAATCTGATTTCAGAATGAAATTCCTTCTTTGTTAAAGACACATAACCATCTTTTGTCACCGTGCTACATGAGTTTTTAAATAGTTTGGCTATGTTCTTTACCATTTTAGGTTGAACAGTTTATCAAATACCCATTCCATGTAGGAGTAGTTGCTTATAATATCCATCTTCTGTAGCTATTGCTTATATTCTTTTTATGGTTGACATGATCATTCAATCATGTTGTATTCAAAGGTCATTTGAATGTGAATTCTTCAATTGTGTGGTCCCAATTCACTGTCCAGAATGGTCGTCAGTAACTGTTGAATGAATATTGATTAATCCTAGCAGGATAGCTATCTAATGGGCCATGTTGTTTACTCGTTATACCTGCATATGTATCGTTGATGAATATTATAGTAAACAGTGCATGAATTTAGGCTTAAGAAATTTGCTACTGTGTGAAGTGATCCTTGCTTACTGCTACATCACTTCAGTCACCACTTTGTGAAATGTTTTGGTAAATTCTATCTACCTCTTGAATCTTCCAATATAACATTCTTAATGTATGTACACACTACTTTTGAAATTTTAAGCACGAAGCTGATGCCTGATGCCATTATACTATGATGATTTATAATGACATCAAGTTATAATTAACTAATTTTACTTCATGTTTATTTGCGTCACTGCATTGAAGTAGCCACTTGCATGAAGATATTAAGAAACCAACCATATCAAAGCTTAAACTGTCTCCTTATATATGTGGCAGTCATTTCCTGTAAAACCTCAATTCAGTTAGTGCAATAATTGCCTTACAATTTGTTGCTTCTTAATGATATCATGGAGCATTTTGTGTTTACCTCTACCATGTTTCACGCCAGGACAAGTTATCACTGGCAGCTGGGATAAGACTATAATGTGCTGGGATCCAAGAGGTGTCAATGGGACAAGTCATCATACACTTGTTGGGACACATAACCAACCTGAACGTGTGTACTCACTTTCAGTATCAGGATATAACTTGGTTGTCGCAACAGCAGGAAGGCATGTGAATGTTTATGATTTGCGCAGTATGTCTAGGCCTGAGCAACAGAGGGAGTCTCCACTAAGGTATCAAACACGGTGTGTTCAATGCTATCCGAATGGAACTGGTAAGGCACTGTTACTTGATTCGAGTATTTCTTCGAACACTTAAGATCTATGTGTGCTAAATAATGCCCATGATATGTTCACTCTTTTTTATTTGTGAGCAACATAAAACTGTGCTAGGTAAAGAATGCTTGTCTAGTTTGATATTGAAGATCCTTATTGGTCAGTTGGAAATAGACTATGAAACTCAAGTCATACTAGCTTGTAATAAATTTCTACATGGTTGCTGTTCCCCTAGCTCTTGAGTTCCATACTTGCATGTATGATTGAAATATAAGGTGCTTGAAATTCATTCGATTATATTGTTATTGTTTTCGTGTGCCTGACTTCAGCTGATATACAAGTTGCTTCAAACCATCATTTTTGTATTGGTCATTTCGGCTCTGTTGCTTCTTTACAATATACCTGATGTGTTTCCTAATATACTGAGGTATGTGGAGGCATCTCATATGTCTGTTATTGACATATGCAATTGATGTGGAAATCATGAATGCACATCCATGTATTCTTCATTACCAGAGCATTTGACTGTTTCATCTTCCCACGCCTAATTTCTGATTACATTTGCTGATTTGCATGGCAGTGGCAATAATTATAAATTTAATAACAAGAGATATTTTTCTAGTTTTTGCAAGGGTTCTAGCCTTAAATTTTATCTTGCACGTAAAAAATGTTACCCAATAGTGGTCCCGACTACTGAACATGAAGGCACCATTTTTCAGGACAAAAGGCACAGGATGACTCATGCAATAGATATTTTATTTCGATTTCAAATATTCATTTTCTAAAGTAGGTAATGCGAGGATATCATCTCTTGAACTAAGTGACAGCTATCTTTTATTTTTATGCCGTCTTTTAAATCTTCTTTTAGTTTCTTATTAAAATTCAGCAAAGCACCATTGAGTAAGGTTCCAAAGTTTTACTTACTAGTTTAGGCTTTGAATTCCTTGACATAACTTTGATACAGGATTTGCTTTGGGTTCTGTGGAAGGACGAGTTGCTATGGAGTTCTACGATCAATCTGAATCTGCTCCCTATAAGAAGTATGCACCTAAGCTGCTGAAGGAAAACTCTTTCCTGATAGCTATTTACTTAAGCTGATATTATTAGCTTTGCCGGAGATCATCTTTTTAATCTACATATTCTGCTGTGTTCCATTTATATACGTAGTTACATGCCTTTATTCTATCCAGGTATAGTTTCAAGTGTCATCGAGTGCCTGAGGATGGAGAGACCAAAGTCTATCCTGTCAACGCAATTTCCTTCCACCCAGTGTAATGAAATCCCCACTGATCCCTCACAAACGGTTGATTATTTTCCGTTTCTTTAATGGCCTCATCTAACATATGCAGACACGGCACATTTGCCACTGGTGGATGTGATAGATTTGTGAACCTTTGGGATGGCGCTAACAGAAGGAAACTGTTTCAAGTAATAGTCCCGCGAACTATTTTTTGAAGATCTCTAATTCTCTATTCTGTATCACAAATTCACATCAGAATGCCTTAGTTCTTTTTTTTTTCATCTTTTGGTTGCAGTTTCCCAGATACCCATCCAGCATCGCTGCTCTGTCTTTCAGTAGGGATGGCCGTCTGCTTGCTGTTGCATCCAGTTACACTTACGAGGAGGGAGACATACCGTAAGACCAGAATTTGTCTAACCCAACTATTCTCTGTCAGTATTAAGTATTAACAGTTGAAACTGGTTCTCACCAGCATTATTTTGTACAATGCAGCCATCCGCCTGACGCAATCTTTATCCGTGATGTCAACGAAGTACAAGTAAAGCCCAGGCCCAAGATCACATTCACTGATCCGCCATCAGTAGCGTCCCCATCAGTTTGAGATGAAGCAATGCTAGTGAGGTGCGTGTCTTCCCCCAATTCGCCTGCTTCCTTCGTTAGTTCTGACGCTTTCCAAACTTGAGTGCTCAGCGTTAACCGTTAGGTGAAACTGTGGATTATGTTCTTGATAGTAACACTGGCCATGTGACAGACTAAGACAGTATACACTATCCTTGTGCGGTAGTATGTGCATTGCGAAAGACAGAAGACGGTATAGCTTGGGGTTATTAAATCACTAAAATTCCCAAAGGTACAAACTGCTGGTAATTCTCAACGTATAAACTCAGTTCAGTACGTAGTTCGCCTCACCCTGCCATGTCGAGTCCAAATCCCTCTTGATCGTCTTTAATAAAGGAGAAAAGGATCAGCTCATTTATGACAGATCCAACTGGATCGAGCAGCGAGACCCACAAACCTAGTATTATACTGCTAATAATATTATGGAATTCCACCAACATATGTAGACAGCAACTCGTGGGGATTATTCTCCACGGAGACGATTAGGGAGGCACCGTGCGGATCTGCTCCCCTATCGAGCGCACTTAAAGCGTTCGTGAGCGAGCATGTGGGAAGAAGCTAGCAATCAAGGCACAGCTAATGTTGCTTCCAATTGAAAATTAATGCCCTGAGTAAAGTATTAGCTTTTGATTCTGCGAAATACTAATACCCCACGTCGAGAGTGAGTGGCACAGCTGCAGGCTGCAGCTAGTTACAGCAGCAGTTGTATATATATGCCTTTGTCGATCTGCCTTTGTGTTTTAGATTCTGGTACCCGTGTGGTTATTAAAGCGCGAAGCGAGATCATCACTGATCTAAGTGATCAGCTATGGCTATACTGCCATACTGGGGCGCAACTAAGTGTGCTAATGATTGAGCCATGCCGCCAAATTGTGCTACAAAGTATAATTGAGCACGCCGCTGCACGGGCACGCGGTACCAACCGTCCGTTGTGCACACGTTGGCTCACGTTTTGTCCCAAATTAATGCTAGTGTTAGTGTTTCTGTAGTCTCAGGAGCAGAATTAATGAGTTTGTACTTTGTACTAGTCCTTATTTTACCAAACCAAGGTTTTGACCTTTTATATGACGTACGTATTGCATACTGACGACGGAATGCTCTTGCTTCCAAGCCGAAATAGCTGTGGATTTGTTAGTGTTTAATTCTTGGACAGAAAAAGATGATTTGAACGTCATATATTGTGGATTAGAACTTTCCTGCGTGAACATTTTAATAAAGGTTCTTCAAACCGTCCATTTTAATGTTGCCAGAAAACAACAGTTCAGAGTTCAGATATGTATCAACTGGTTAAATCATTGTTGTTCATGGGGCGGCCTGTGATCACCGTATACGTGTGGAGCTCTCTCCCCTGCGAAGGCTCTCGTGGCAGGTGAGGTGTCTCGCCCGTGCGGCACACCTGGGGCGACCACGCCCAATAACGTGCCTGCTCCCCCGGCGTGCCCAGTAGCTAGCGGCACGCCGTTGTCGCTGTCCTGGCAGTTGATCGATCGCCGGTTGGTCGAGCCCTGGGCCGTCGGTGCACCCAGCGTCCGCCGCGTGGCAAGTGCCTGTGAGTACTGGCCAGTGTCTTGCTGCTCGAGTACTGAAGCGTGTTCAGTTCCCATTGGTAGCCTGGGGACCAAGTAGCAAGGAATCAGGAGTCTCAGGACTGCAAGGTGCTAGTAGCAGATGGATCTGGTCTGGTGCCATGTACACGGCACACGTGCATACGCTTTGCAAGGATTCGCAACGAGAATTTTGCGGTGGTGCCGTGGAGCTATACGTGACAAATGTGGGGCCAGCTTCCTTTTCTGCGCCGGGCATATGCTAGCTTGAGTGTGAAAAATATTACTACTCCCTCCTTTCCTTGTTATATGATGTTGGACGTCAAACAAATAAAATCAGATAAAGAATACATCACTAAACAGATTTTAGAAGAGAAAATTACACGAACAATGGTCAGGGATCAAGTCGTTCTCAAGCTCGGGATGAGGTGAATGGAGAGAAAGTGTAACTTACCCATGACAGCAACGGTAAGGAGTAAGGACAACTATCTTCTTATATTAATAACGAGCTCTTCCGCTCCTTCGATGCTAGTGACACATAAACTTTGGTATAGAGTATCTATGAATCAGGGTTTTGGGACTAGGAGATAATGGAGAGGGGACGATGAGGATATCTTATGAGACAATGGAATGGGTGGACTGCGAGATGAGACATAAGCGTTGGTGCTGGAGTTGTGAGGATAGTGAAGGGTGCTAGGGTTGTGAAAGAGTGGTCAGATGGCGGGTTGGTGGTGGCGTCTCTAGTGGCTTACTCCCTCCGTCACAAAAAAAGACAAACCCTGGTTTCCGTGTCGAACGTTTGACCGTCCGTCTTATTTGAAAAAAATATGAAAAAAATTTAAAAGACAAGTCACGCATAAAATATTAATCATATTTTATCATCTAACAACAATAAAAATACGAATTATAAAAAAATTCATATAAGACGGATAGTTAAAGTTGGACACGGAAACCCAGAGTTTGCCTTTTTTTTTTTTTGGGACGGAGGGAGTACATCGTTGGACATATAGAAAAGATGATGGGAACGGGACATCTCAATGTTACCTGGTTTAGGGAGGAAAGGACGATGGTCCGGTGAGCCTTGCCAGCATCATTGGTAACTTTTGTGCTGATGAGGATGAGGTAGAGTAGGGAGGAGCACCGTGACGGTATGAGTGAGCTTTGTATGGGGATTAGGGGAAATATACGGTCGAGGAGTATTGTATTGGCACTTATTTTGATACGATTTCAGCCTTTCAGGTGTCTAAAATTCATGTGATTTTTGAAGAAAAGAAATGTGTGAAGTAATGCATTGATTGATAAATAGCTAAAAAAAATCGGTTATTTGATCCACAATGGATAACCTAGATAGAACATCCGTTGCTATTGTGCTTTACTGCAGTATATACGACCACCGCTTCATCCCAATGACTCGATTTGTTCATCCCTGTATTAGGCTGTATTCCATCGGAAGCAAGCCATCACATCCCAATCGACCGTCTCAGATCCTACAACCCGGAACCCCGCAAACCACCAACCATTGTATCATTTCACACAGACCTGGATGACACGTTGGACTTCGCCTCGCCCTCCGACTCGGAGTCGTGCTGCTGCTGTGGGTCCCACCCACCCTTCCCGCGCGCCCCGCCGCCGGCCGCCACTCCGCATCCCCGCACCAGTCACTCCACCGCGCCCCGCACCCCCCTATATATATGGCCACCCGAACCCACGCCTCTCTCCACCTCGCCCACGCACACCACCACCACTCTCCCCCTGCTACTTGTCCACCCCAATCTCATCGCTCTTAGTCAACTCCGCCGAGAGAGACTGATCGTTCTCGTTCAGCTCTGCTCTGCCCATGGCGCTCGACGGGAAGCCACCGGTGCCGCCGCCGTCCACGCCGCCGATGGACTCGTGGGCCTGCGGTGGTCGCCGCTCCAAGCGCCGCGGCGGCGGCGGCGGGAGCAGCGGGAGTAGTGGCAGCTCCGGCGGCGGCGGCGGCGGCGAGTCCGAGGAGGAGTACCTCGCGGCCTGCCTCTTGATGCTCGCGCATGGCGTCCGCGACGAGGCCGAGGTCGTCGGCGTCGCGGCGGCGACGGCGAAGCCACAGCATGGGTACGAGTGCTCGGTGTGCGGCAAGGTGTACGGGTCCTACCAGGCGCTGGGCGGGCACAAGACGAGCCACCGCAAGCCGCCGTCGCCGGCGGCCGAACCGGCGGCCGGCGAAGAGCCGTCCTCCGGCGGGGTGGCCGGCGAGGCGAAGGTGCACCGTTGCTCCATCTGCCTCCGCACGTTCCCGTCCGGGCAGGCGCTGGGCGGGCACAAGCGGCTGCACTACGAGGGCGGCGCCGTCGGAGACGCCGTCAAGGAGAAGAACTCCCTGAAGACCAAGGCGGCGGTGGCGACAGCGGTGCTGAAGGACTTCGACCTGAACCTGCCGGCCGCGGCGACGACGGCGGGGGACGAGGCCGAGAGCTCACCACCGGAGGCCAAGAGAGCACGTCTGCTGCTTCTCGTCTAACCCGCGGCGGTGGCGGCGGCGGCGGCGGCGGCTTGTGGTTTTGATGGTTTAGGTGCTTAGCCGTTCCGGTTTAGGTTTCAGATTGATACCGGGTTGTTAATTTCATTGATTGATTTATTTTAGTTCACTTCTGGTTGGGCGATGGAGACGGGTGGCATGATAAACATGCCGTGTTTAGATGGTTTACTGCAATTCTAGGGAGCTAGAAATTGTCCTGGGCTCCATTTTTTAAATTTTTACCATGTATACCAGTACATAATTTGATACTTAAATCAATTCGATTATGAAACCCAAGGCGGACTGATACCATTGACGACAAGTTTGCTGCCAATACGGTGATTGTGATTTCTATGAATCGCCCTCTCGGCCTCTCAATCGCTCTTTCTGCTTGTTTGGGAATAGGAAACCCTAGTTGTTTCTTTTGGTCCACGTACGGGTCGTCAGCGACGGCGCCGCTTGTGAAGGTGACGGCGGTCTCCTTGTCCGTCCCGTCCCGTTCGACTTCGATTGGTTTTTGGATGAGCGATTCAATTGGGGCAAGACTACTGCAAGTGTAATCAAGTATTGTTTGCGACTTTGCGTTGCTCTGAATAGAATTGGGTTCTCTGAAAATTCTCTTCTCCATTCTGGAGACGCACATTTATAATGAGAAAAGTTGGATATGAATATAGTTTCAGGACATTTGTGAGTTATAAAACCAGCGAGCACCATTGAAAATTCGGAGTTGTGCTAATTCATCTTTCTCTTTTCTGTTAGGTCTGATCAGTAACAAAAATCGAAGTGAAACTGATGCTTATGTGTTCCTGAAACTGTGTTTTTTCAGGTTGGCCAGCAGTTCTGGTGGAAATAATATAATGGGGCCCCATGATTCCCCAGCTCGCTGTGTCGAATACTCCTACAGTCCTACATGCAGGTAGGTACTCGTTATTGCGTTTTCGTGTGGCTAGAAAGTGTTGTTTGACTTTGTAAAATTCATTTTTTTTAGAAGTCGCTAGTTGGAATTCATGATATAGTTTCTAGATGGGGTAGGTCTTCTAAACCCTGCCAATAAAAAATGTCTATCTTCTGAAATTTGTCAATTCGACCTCATAATGTGCTAGCTGAGTTCAGGTTTTACTGGTAAGGAGGATAATCCTATCTAGTATCTTAGAAGGAACTTCCTTCTTGGTTTAAGACAAACTTTTATCACAGTGCTACAACAGATTAAATTGTTTAGTTGTGGTTTTTATCCATTTTAGGCCGAACATTTATCCTTCTGTAGTTACTGTTTATATTTCTGTATAGTCGATCTGATCATGGAATATATTTCACGTTGTGTTATGCGATCATTTGAAAGTAAAGTATTCGCTCTGGGTCCTTCGGAACGACGAGTTGCTATGATTAATTTGAATATGTTCTCTGACTAAGTATGCACTTAAGCTGCAAAAGGAAAACTTTCATGAATAGCTATTTACTGAAGATGAGACATTACTAGCATTGCCACGTGATCATATTTTTAATCTACATAGTCTGCATGCTCATAGGTGGTTGCCATTGATTATCTGAGAATGCAAGGAACATCGTTTATGTTGTCAAATACAATTTCATCCCACTCAATGCAAAGAAATTCCCTTGATCTCTCTCCAACTGTTTCGATTACTTTGTTTTCTTTAATGGCCTCAAATATCCCACATTTGCAGATACGGCACATTTGCAACTGGTGGATGTGACAGTTTTATGGCCTTTGGGATGGCGCTAGCAAAAGGTAAATTGTCTTCCGTGATATATTTGTTGAAGAACTATGTATGATAACTTCAGCGTACATTATTATTTTTTCTTCTTTTAATTGAAGTGCCCCAGCCCTCAAATACCCATGTAACATCACTTCTTGTCTTTCAGCAAGGATGGCCATCTGCTTCGCTGTCGCATCCAGGTGCACGTTCGATAAGCCGTAAGGGAGACATACCTTAAGACCAGAATTTGGCTGGGACAAGTATTCCTTTTCAGTAGGGATGGCAATTTTACCCACGGGTTCGGGTATCCATACCCGATCCGATGGTATGGGTATGGGGTTAATTTTTTGCCCGTAGGTACGCCCGGCCGTAACCCGAAAATCTAATGGGTAGTAGCCGGGTTTTATATGGTAACCCATACCCGACCCGAAATTAATGTAGAGGTTGATTTTGGTCTATCTCTCATACCTATTTTCCTTTGATCTATTAAAATCTTGAACTTTGATGAAATTATGCTAGCTTGTTTATAATTTGTATTGCTCTTTTTAACCATTGGTGATAATTTTACGATTTACTGATTTTATTGCTCTTTATTTAGTTACCTTTCTATTGAGATATCAATCATATGAAACCCACTGGGTATCCACCGGGTATACCATACCCAACGGGTATGGGCATGGGTATGAATTTCTACCCGCCAATTCTATCGGGTATCAATCGGGCGGGCAAAAGCGGGTCAGGTACGGACTTGCTCTACCCGCACCCAACCCGACCCGACCCATTGCCATCCCTACTTTTCAGGGTACTAATCTGTATTCTCATTTCTCACATCATTTGCACCCTGCAGGCATAAGCCTGACGCAATCTTTATCTGTAATGTCAACTAAATGGAAGTAAACCAGAGGACGAAGACATTAGCGGATCCCTATCAGCCTGAGATGTCAGTGAGGTGCGTTTCTTCCCCTCAATTTGCCTGTTTATTGTTCGTTGGTTCTGACACTTTACGAAAGTTCTTAGCGTTATGCTCAAACTATGGATTCTATTAATTGACAGAAACACATTCAGTAGTATATCTGCATTAGAGAAGTTACAAGATGGTAGGTTGATCAATCATCTGAGGTAGTATAAACTAGCTAGTGACAATATTTCTCCACTGCACGAATGTATAAACCGAGTTCATCAATCAGCACGCAGTAATTCACCTCACCCTGTCATCCATGTTGAGTCCAAATCCCCATTATCATCTTTAACAAGTCAGAAAGAAATCATCTCATTTATGACCGATCCAACTGGATCGAGCAACGAGACCTACATCCAACTATTATACTACCGATGATAATGTTATCAAATTCCAGCAACATAAGTAGACATTACCTCGTGGGGATTATTCTCCACGGAGACGATTAGGGAGACACCGCGCGTATCTGCGCCCCAAATCAAACGCACTTAAAGCGTTTTGTGAAGGAGCATGTGGGGGAAGCTAGCAATAATCAAGGCACAGCTAATGCTGCTTCCCATTGAAAAATTAATGCGACTTGGTAAAGTATTAAGCATATGATTCTGCACATTTCTGCGTAATACATCCACGTCGAGAGTGAGTGGCACAGCTGCTGCTAGCTACACAGCAAGCAGAGTAGTATATATGCCTTGATCGATCTGCCTGTGTGTGTGGTTTAGATTCTCGTACGCGTGTACTCACTCGCGCGCGGAGAGCGAGATCATCACTGAATCAGCTCGCTATCTCAGCTATACTGGGGTGCAACTAAGTGAGCTAATGATTGGGCCTTTGCCGCCACATTGTGCAAACAAGTAGTGTAAACGATCACGCTATTGCACACGTCGGTTCACGTTTCGTCCCGAGTTTAATGCCCACGGTGTTTAGTACTACCCCTTTCCAAAATGTATGATGCCGTTTATTTTTCGTACAACATAAGCATAGTACCTACGAAATATCATATTTGGTATCAAAGGTATTAGATCCGGTACCTATAATATCATACACATTAACTATGGATAAAAACAGTATGGAAACTTTCTGGATTCCGAACCTATTTTCGAAAACAGTATCTGTCGGTCATAATTTTTCGGAAACGGAAACGGAAACGAATTCGGAAATATTTTATCGGAAACGGAATCGAATATGATAATGGCAGTTTTCGTCGGAACTCGGAATCGGTCGGAAAATTTCTTGGAATTTCCGGAATTAAGAAGGCCCATACCGTAGTCTATAATTCCTCCCCAGCCTATCCCAATTCAGCATACTAATTCCAAGTCACTCAATTCAGCCCAACCCAATACACCCAATTCAAACTTAAGAATTGGACTTGACATGATTGTGTTTTGTGATATAATGTTAAAATATGAGACTTGAGAATTAGATTTGATATAGTTTAAAGCTTAGTTTGAGGGGTTTTTTATTCCGATAAATTTTTGTTACTATATCAGCGCCGGTCTGTTTTCGCTCTGTTTTCGTTTTCGACAATATTTGATTCTGTTTTTTATCCGGGGTTTCCAATTCTGAAAAAATATGAAAACAAAAACGATAAAGGTGGTCTGTTTTCGTACCATTTTCATCCCTAATATTAACTATTTCATTGTCTATGTATTTTCGGAATTGAGGTCCACACAAACAAGAGTCGTGTCTGATGTGCCCAGCGCATGACCGGCAGTCCATTATCGACTCCTCTAAGTTAATCTAACCTTTTTCTTTTGAAACAGTTAATCTAAGCTTTCAGTACAAGTAGCTAGGTGCCTCAACCCTTCTATTTTTTGTCATTTCTATCTTTATGAGGAGCTGTCACCCCAACCACTTTGATGCTCTCAAAAGAACAGATAATAGAGTGGCCTGTTCCAACGAGCAAAACAGCAGCGGCTAGCATCAGTCTCACCTCGGCTAGCTAGCAAGGCACATTCCCTAAAGACACTTTATGAGGAGCTGGAGATGATTCCAACGCTATCTATCTGAAGTTTTGATCTGTGATATTTCAGCAATTTTGTGTAATCATATTTGCTCACGCTAAAGGGTAAATTAATTGTGGTTGAATATTCAGTTTAGTTTAAGGATTGGAATATTCTAAACTAGCTATTGTAGAGGGCAGTACTAATCGACATCAGGGACAATCTTGGTCATCTCTGGTAAACGATGAATGTCCTAAGTCAAGTGCTACAGGAAAATCACTACAACACCAAAAGACTCGACAATACCAAAAGAGTATAGAATTTCAAACAAAGGTTTCCAAGCTTTTAGATCCATTGATCGGTTCTAGAGCCTAGCCACCTTAGGGCATGTTCAGATTAATATCATTTTAAATCATTACATTATTTGATAAAGTTGATAAATATATGGTTGCATTTAGTTTGTTATCAAACATTGATAATGCATAGAAAATTTTGGCAACAATACATTTAAACTATTCTATAAAATCTTGACAATGCTACCAATTTACCGAAATTTTGGAATTAGCAACTTTTGAAAATGTTAATTTTGATAGTAATCTGAACAGATCATTAGTTTAAAAAATGTCCTTTATACGAAAGCACTTTCTTCATGATGGCTCAATCCTCTTCATGTGTAGACATAGGTCAATTGCATCAGTGGTAGCTCCATAGAAGCCGTTCTTCCTTGCCCCTCTAGATGTGAGGAATTCGCAATCAAGGAACACTGAGTGAATAACCTCTATGCCCAACATCGCTAGCACTGGATAATGTTACATACATCCTCGTTCACCTCGTCCTACCACCTTGTTGTCTGACAAAGTCATCTAGGGATGAACAAAAATGCAGTAGAGTTTTGTTCGAATTTTGAAATTCATAAAAAACAATCATTCATAACATTCGATAGAACTCTTAAATGAACTCTTAAATTAATTTGTTTTTGAAATTTTGTCCCTACCCCCTTAAAAAATTCTCATGTCAAATTATTGAACCGTACTATAGTTCAAAACACATTAATGTTCACACAACAACCTTTTGCATTTATTGCAGAAGATCTATATCTTGCAATAAATGTTAAATAAAATATTTCAAACTAATTCAATCGTAATAACTCACTTTTCTCGAAAAGATAAAATGAATAAATTTGGCAGTCCAATAATATATATACTTCCATAAAAGCAGATAGATTTATATCCCCATACAAATATTTAGGAATATAAATGCATTTTATTCTCCCACCAATTTAATAAAGATATCCTTTAATATCTTCTAAGGTTTCTTAAAGTAGATATAAGAGCAATTAATGCACACAACCTCCCAAAAAAGAAGAAAATGTGTCAAAAATCTCAAGCATGCACAAACTAACAAGCGCATGTACCATCCTTTTTATTCTATCACATACTATAACAAACACAAGGTGACAAGCTGTCTCAACCCTGCCACGTCATATCAAACGGCACATATCTCACAATCTGATACCCAGCGGCCACAAACCGTCAGATCACCTTCCAAATGCTGGTGAATTTACCACCAAGTCTCACAACCCAGACGACACGATAGACTTCGAACCAACTGCAAACATGTCATTGTCGGTGGGCCCATTCACACTTACCGCTTGCACCATGCCCGTTGCCTATTTGGCACTCCATGCCCTGCACCACTCACCCTGCCACGCGCTATATATGGCCACCACAACCCATGCCTTCTCATCTCACTTGCACGCACCTACCCTTTTCCTGTTATTGTTCCTCCCATTCTTAGCGTTTGTGTGAGGTCGATTTCATACCACTATGGGGCTAAACGAGAAGCCATTGGTGCCTCCGTTGTCTCCAACGCCGGTGGACTTCCGAGCCCATCAGGTGTTCCCATCCAAGCACCACGATTTTGACACTAGCAAGAGTCGTAACATCTCTGGTAGTGTCGCCATCGGCAGTGATTCTGAGGAGGAGTACTTGGCGACTTCTCTCTTGATGCTCGCACATGGCATTCGGGACGAGACCAAGGACATCCGAGGGATGGGAGACGTAAAAGGTGTGGGTGTTGACACTTTGGAGCTGGTGAAACCAAGCCAACGGGCTTATGAGTGCTCGGTGTGTGGCAAGGTGTACTGGTGTTACCAGGCGTTGGGTGGGCACATGACGTGCCACCGCAACCTATTTGCACAAGTGGTGGCCGGTGATGAGTTGTCCTCCGATAGGACCATGGTGGTTAAGGGGCACAAGTGCTCTATCTGTCGCCTTGAGTTCCCATCTGGGCAGGCGCTAGGAGGACACATGCGGGTGCACTATGTGGGTGGTGTTGAAGGAGGCTCTGTCAAGGAGAAGAACGTTGTGAAGACCAAGGTTACAGGAGCACTGAAGCTAGTGTTGAAAGACTTTGACCTGAACGTGCCTGTTGTGGCAACGATGGTGGGAGACGAGGCTGAGAGCTCACATTCAGAGGCCAAAGCGCGGATGATGACACTCCCCTAACCAGCGCAATACTTGTTCATGTTTAGATTGTTATCTAGTTGTTTTGGTTGGGCGATGGGGACAGTTGACATGGTATATATGTCATGGTTAGATGGTTTTCTATATTTCTAGGGAGCTAGAAATTTCCCTAGCTTAAATTTTCCATCATACATGTATGCACCATGTATCAATCTATAATTTGTGATTCTATCGATTGTATTATGAATCTAAATGCTAGTTGTGATGTTGGTGACATTTTTTTTACTCATCATGTGATTGAGTTTCTTTGAATCTCAAATATTGTTTTCAATCTCCAGTTGATGAAGAGGGAGAGGGGACAACATATAGAAATGCTAGCAGTTTTCTCAGTGGTGCGATAGAAATGACTTAAACTCTGACAAGTAAGTTGAATTGGGTCATCTGGGTTAATTAGGGGCAACTCATCAGAGGTGAGGAGCTAAAGAAGAGTTAGGAGTTGTAGAGCGAGGAAAGCACACCGGTGTTCAAGAAAATGGGTTACAATGGTGCAAGCAAGGGAAAGGACAAATGGCAACATTACTCAAGATGTGGTTGAGTAGGAGCGATGGCAACAGGGTGGAGAGAATATTTGTTTTCATTTTGTTACACAAATCTTGTAGCAATCTCACCCCTTGATAATTTAGATTTTAATTTGGGTAGGTAGGGTGGGGAGGGTCCGACTGAGTGAACATTGCACAGGCCCTGCTACTTACTATTTTTCAACCTTTTCAAGATATAAAAGGTAACTCTATATTTTTCCTTTCAACTTCATAATATTTAGGAAAGCATTTGGATCCTAGGCTAGAACGTTCCTACCCTTGCTTGGCTAGGCCTGATGTTTGGTATGTGGTTCAAAAGGCTAGCTTTGCCAAGAAAAAGGTAGTTTTGGCAAGAATTTGCTTGCCCTGGCTAGGAGAGTAGATTTGGCTCTCCTCCATCGTCAAGCATACAAATTTAGTGGATAACTGCTCTCATAGGCGAAACAGCCAAACAAATCTCCTCTCTCCCATAAATGTCGATTTCTAATATCAGCAATAAAATTTATAGGGTGCGCAAGATCAAGGAGAGATGGTGACACAGATGTTTATACTGATTTAGGCCCTCAATACAAGGTAATACCCTAATCCAGTTGTATGTGGATTGTATCTATGTCCAGTGAATATGAGTGAGAGTGTATGTCACCCCCTAGGGTTCATACCGCCACCTCTTATATAGTGAGGGTGCGTCCGGCGGTAAGTGTGATGTGGTATCCCTTATAATCCTGGTACATGCTATCTGAGTACATCAGGCGGGATAGGTTCCCTTATTTCCTATCACCTTCCATTTACATTTTGCTATCGCATGGGCCTAGGCCCTCAGCCTACCCCCGGGATATAGCCCAAAGGCCTCCTGTGGACCACCTAGGCCCCATAACATCCACAATAAGCTAGAGCTCACCTTGGCTAGTATTTTCTTGCCTAGTTAAGCAGCTGGGCAACCCAACCAAGTGTCAAACGTTACGCTAGCAAAGTTGTAATCCTTTCTTATACATCTGAGTACATCAGGCGGGATAGGTTCCCTTATTTCCTATCTCCTTCCATTTACATTATGCTGTCGCATGGGCCTAGGCCCTTAGCCTACCCCCGGGATATAGCCCAAAGGCCCTCCGTGGACCACCTAGGCCCCATAACATCCACAATAAGCTAGAGCTCACCTTGGTTAGTATTTTCTTGCCTAGTTAAGCAGGCTGGGCAACCCAACCAAGTGTCAAACGTTACACTAGCCAAGTTGTAATCCTTCCTTATACATCTAGCTAGATTAGACAACACAAATGTGATACCGGAATTTAATGTGGTTATGTGATGTTTCCGCTATTTCATTATCTGCTAGCATCTGACGTACCGGAAGCTACAAGCTTCATGTGGTTGTTAAGGGCATGCACGATGTATATTTTCAGGAAGGGATGTTAAGATGACACCCACTAGTGTAAGAGCAATTGGATGAAAAGTTTAGCATTGTATAGAATCCGCTGTCCATCCTATAAGTGGACGCATCTATATCTATACCTACTTACAAAATACATAAGGCTTTCGGTGGATTTTTCGTCTGTCGACTCGAATCCTAATCAAGCCCGTTGTTTGTCCGAGTCTTTCCTATTGAGGCTAGGGTTTTACCGAGTTCTCTGGATTAGAAACATTGCCAAAATTCACGTGATTTCCTTTAGAATATTTGGGGATTTCAATGGGGAAAGTAAGAGGAGGATTAGGGGATTCCGTTTTCGCATCCAATTTGGTAAGGGAAGCAGCGACGAGGCCGGATTCAGAACTGGATGCGACTCCCGTATCGATGTACAACGTCGGGATTTTGGTCTGGAGGTTGAAGATGACACTGTGGCACTGGGTCCCATGCATCAGTAGGGGAGATGGGAGTGGCTTGGGCTAGGCCGAGCATGAGAAAAGGATGCCGGCCTAGGAGGGAGAAGAAGATAGAGGAGAGGAAGTGGGCCGGCTTGGGGGAGGAGGAAGGAAGAATGGGCAATATTTGACCCTGACTTAGGAGATGTTTTTAGTTTATTTTTAATTTAAATTAATTACTATAATTATATTTGTATTATTAAAATTAGCATTTGAGCTCTGAAAAATCCTAGAAAATTCTAAATAGTGTAATTAATCATAAGTAATTTAATAAAAATTAAATCCAGTCATATTATTTTACCCACACTTATTTTACTTGTAAATTAATTTAATTCTATACCTACCTACTTAAAAATATGCAAGTATTCCGGAAAAAATTTCGTGTGTCACCCATTATTGTATCATCGCGCGTCATCCCACATCCTCGTACTCTCCGGCTCTCCGCTTCGTTCGTTGTCCGTGCAGGAATAGGAGAGAACACGATGATCGAATGGGTGTGTGCATCCATGTTGGAGTAGGAGAGAAACACGTTTGCGCAGAACATACGCGTCTAGATCGGTCCTGTGGTCGCCTGCGCACAAGTTCGAGCCCATATCGTGCACGTGAGCCATGCACGCTCAACAGTAAAAGGCTTACTCCAAATTTTATTTGGCGAAACAGTGGTAAATTTTAATAAGAATTAGTTTTCAAGTCAAATGATTATAGAATCTTACTTCAATGAATAGTGTCCAAATCCATATGCAGTTATATTTGTTTGCATGTGCTTTCAGTTTTCTGGGCTCTTATGGTGATGGAGGGTTCGACACATGTGAACTGGAAGAGAGAACCCGTTAAGCTCAGCATGACATCTTCTTTTATTCTTATGCATTCGCTAAAATAATTATATTTGATCGATTGGTTTGACATCACATGGAATTGGGTCGAGGAGTTAATGTATGGCGTATGTTAGAATTAAAGTGAACTAACTATAATTTCTTTGATGTATCATGTTTTGTAGTATTTGATGCAGACTTTAATTTGCGACTGTATTATGTGTCAGCTTACTGAAGATACCACGTAGGTGTCGTGCTAATATCATAGCCGATTTAGACTATTTTGAACAGGTTAATTGGTAATTCCACGCAAAGGATATGCTTTGTTTAAATCATGAAGAAATTGGAACCTTGCAAATTTGTTGTTTAATATAATTTATTTTTATTCCGTTGCAACACACAGGTATTTTTTCTAGTTAAATAATAAAGCAAAAGAGAATCAAAGCTTATAAGCTTATGGTCATTGAGTGTTTGACGAGTGGGTCCAGATTATCACTCTAATTTGAGCTTGTTGCTACAACCGATGCCCGTTCCTATCTTTAAATGGACTTTAAAAAACAAGTTCTACGATGAATCTTAAACTTATAATCCCATGTTGGGCATGCTCTAAATGGGTCATGGGCTCAGTTGGGCCAGGGACCTGTCACCTCACCACCTTCTCCATCGTACCCCTTAAATTGGGGGGCAGTTCGGTCATTTCGCTGGGGCGGCCGTTGGGTCAAACCAGATAGACCGACCGACCGACCGACCGACCGCACGGCGCACCACCACAGCCAGTCGCTGGGCCGCGCGAACGGCAATTTCTCCGAGGCCCTTGGAAACGAGAGCCCGAGCCGACAGCGACCACAGGAGCCATACCCCAACCAAACCACCCCAAAACCCCACCACCACCGGAAACCGCTAAAACCACGCGCCCCCCGTCCCCCGCCCTCCAGCCGCCTCCCCCAACCCCGCGCTCCCCTCATTGCCTTATCCGAATCGCCTCGCCGTCTCCGTCTCGCCATGGAGGCCGTGCGCGCGTCGGCGGCGTGGGTGGCCAGCCGCTCCTCCCACGTCAAGGTCGACATGTTAGGTATGCTCTCTCTCTCTCTCTCTCTCTCTTTTTGCTCGCGGCTTCCGGATGTTTCTCAGGTGATAGGGTTTAGGATTACCCCCAACGTTTTATTTTTGTAAAGAAAATAGGGGATTGCTCGATGTTGTCTGTCTATGTAGCAGTATGATTTCTGGTCTGGAATGCATGCCATAGTTGTTCTAGATTTATTTTAGATAATGAGTAGTTGACTCTAGTAGTTTAGTTAGCCTTGCAACGATCTCTGATTGATTCAGAGTTCTGTGCCTGAAATTCCTTGTTGGCTATTTATCCTTTTCTGGGTGTTTGTTGTTTCAAATAGTTTCCAAGTATTTCTTTTGAGAGAAGAACTTGAGATTTTGTGGGAAGCAAATGCTTTTGATTAGTGCCTACAAATTGACGCTAATGTTTCCTTTGTTTTGCAAAGGAAAGCGCATGTACAATCCTCATGTATTTTTATTAATTTTTCCCTTACAGAGGTCGAGAAGGTGGTGGACAAAATCCAAGGAAATGTTCCAAAAGTTGAATGGGACTTCGAAGGAATTCACTATTTTGACGATGGCCCCCTCACTGTCCAGTACCTCTTCGTCCTGGATGCTCTGAACTTCTGCTTCTGGCCAGGTATAAGTTCTAGCAATGCTGCATCGTTTCGAACATGTAAAAGTTAGTCGTACTCGTACCTAAGGATATACAAAATAGGACCAACAGGTATCAAGTATCAACCACTGTAATTATCTGATTTCAATTCTTTTACTCCTGTATCAACTATAGCCTTTCCAGATTGTGTACTAGTGGTTCTGTAATCTCCATGAATTATAGGTGTACTAGGCTACTACTAGCTTCCAGTGACCTGAAATTGATGTTCTTACTATTAAGCTGCAGTATAGCCTTTTTCATTTCTATGTTTGTTTCTTGTAGAACCATGATCAGTAATATCATAATGTTTGTAACTGAAACAGATAAGGATCTGAGCTATGACCATTTGGCTTCTGGACTAAAGTTAGCCTTAGAGAAAGATAAGACAGCCCTTGATGCAGATCGTCTCCAGAGTTACACTGGTAACTTTTCTTCTATACGGACATCTTGCATTATATAACAAGTATATTTTATGGTTTTTATTGACATCAGTATACTGAAATATGGGATTATTGTACCAGTTGTGGTGACATGGAATCAATAGTTATACATTATGATAGCCTGCATATGGTGCAACTTTAGATCTTCTCAGGCCCCTTATTCACGCTCTACATCCTTCTATCATAAAAAAGTTATGCCCTCTATCTCAAAATATAGCAACTTCTCCACCTACTTCCTCATCTCAACTAATCACAACAATATATCATTTAGTTTCACCTCTCCTTAATCTCACTGAAAGACTCTAGAAGTGCTTATATTTTGGGACAGTGGGAGGTATTCTTTTTTTATTAGCTGAGATGCATTTTGAATACTCTGTAAGTATCTCTTAAACTAAAAAAAACGTTTTTAAAATGTAGGGCCTCAGCTCCGCCAACTGCTGAACTGGCCACGCCCACTGCCAATTGAGGAGGAAAGAGTACGGCTTCTTCATGAGGTACTGTTCTGTCGCACTTAATTGGTTCATTGAAAAGTTGATCTCTAGAACCCTGTATTCTGCTTCATGCATTTTGAAATTTGTCAGTGTCATCACCTAAAAGCATAAAGACACTCACCATCTCTATTATGATGAATTTAGTCATCTAGTTGTTTCTGGAATCATCTTGAGATTGTTGATAGGATCTAATTATGCTCCTATAATAGTTATTATTTTTGCCATAGGTTTGTTGCCAAGCAATTGCATAGGCTACATGGCTACATCCAAGAATCTCTTATTTGTAAATTATCTCTTATTCTGGTGGATGCATTTAGGTTGGTATGGAACTTGAAAGAAGCTTTGGAGGTGAAGCTGCAAATCTAGTGAAGTCTGCTGGAAACTCTGCTGCTACTCTAATCGAACTTATTACCCGTCATTTTCCTGGTAAATCTTCCGTTACACTTATCCTCTACTTGGTAGCACTAGTTTTAACTAGTCCAAGAGTCCCAACCAGGATTTGTCCAGCTATATTACAGAGAGAGAAAACAAAAATTGAAGATACTATCTGACCCCAGTTGATCTGTCTGATCTAAACTGTTGCAAGCTTGGTTTTTGAGAACTTCTTGTAGGCTTTTAGATGCCCCTGAAGACACCATATCCCTGACGAGGGGAGCTGTATTTACTGAGAGGATTATAGCATTGTTCTGTAGATGGGCCATTTGTCCAATGGGCCAATGAGATGTATGGTAGTGAAACAGGACTAGAGAAATGGCCGTACAACCACTGGTTGTGCATCCAGATTTGGCCCGCTACTGTGGATCTGGGAGGACACAGTAATGAGTTGGTGTGGTCAGGTTGCACTTGCAGCATTCCAGGCATGTAGCTTAATCTTGTGTGGGCCATGCACCCCTGCATAGGCTGTGTTTCAAACATGTCATCTGATGCCATGTCCAATTGATTGTTTTAAAAGTCATTTTGATTTCCCTTTTAGAAAAGTCCCTCGTCAAGCAAATCTTTGTTCTGACTACAGCCATTTTGTTCTTGACATTCTTTTTTTATTAGTTTACTTGAATGCCTGATGATTGGAATCTTTAAAATGAAATTGTTCCAGCAAGTGGTTAGAACTTATTTGAGTAATTTGCTCATTGATTCCTTGATTCTTGGTTCATTTCGCTTGGTGCAGAAGCTTGAGTAGAATTGAAGATTTATGTTTATATTACCTGGCCGGTTTATCATGATTATGATTATTTCCTTTTTAATGTCTATTTGAAAATAAGGACTAATGCATTAAATTGTCTGCTTCCAGCTTCCAAGTTCCACCTCTCACCTTAGCCTAATAGGGAATTCTTTGCTAGAGGCAGTCCAGCTTAGCATGTTTACATTTCCACCATTCTTTTCACCTGTTCATACTGCGTTGTTTCATTTTGCTATTTTCAATGGGCAGTAAGCACATCTGTACAGCGATATAAATTGTTCTAAGATATAATTTTGGCAGGTTTTCGGGATCATTCACTTTACAAAGGACACCAGGTTTTCTTGTATAAGAGAGCTCAGATATTTGTTGCTGATCTGTGGGGTGCTTTTAAGGGACAAAACTATGGCGAGTTCCACGACATCAAGTCCATCACCATATTTGCAGACTATATTGTTCCTGCTGTCTTGAGGGAGCTTGGCATACTGAAATATGGCTCCAACTTATCTTGCTCAATTGATTCGAGCAGTGAGATTGTGCCTGGAAGTGAAGAGGAAGTGGAGATTCGTGCTTGTTCTGTATATGCCGTGGAAAAAATGAGAGAGCTCATCAACAAGAAGTTTGGAAAGCAGGTAGGCACATCTGAATCACTATCACCTAATACTTTCATACCATTTCTTGGTAGATACAAAGAGGGGGTGTTTGGTTCATGGCCACACTTTGCCACACCACATTTTTTGTCTGCCGCAGTTTGTTAGGCATGTGTTTGGTTTACTGCCACAGTTGTGGTTTGCCACACTTTTTCAATAGCATATGCCCCACATGTCAGAGACTAACAATTTGTCCACCACACTTTTGTGGCTATCACAATTTGCCTAACGTTAGTTGTGGTAAAGTGTGGCCAGCAACAAACACACCCCTAGTCACTGCACGCTCCGCTACATTGATGAGCAATCAGAAAAGGTTATATTATATTTACTCTTAAGTATTGAAAAAGAGCAAAATTGACCATTCTGCTTTAGTTTACGGTCAAGACATTCATCTAGTAGGAGTTTTCTCACCTTATCCATGTAACTCTAAGTTTGAGGCATACTATAAAGCAGTCAATGCGGCTATTTTATTTAACTATAGGAACTAACGTTGCTCTTGCTCTTGGTGTTCTTGGCAGCTTCTGAGCATTGACATCGATCTATGGCTCTGGTCATGTGGCGTTCAGAACATGGCGTTGTCACATCACCGCACCCTCTCAATATATTACTGAGAGCCAGCAGCTGCTGCTGGGCGCCCCCTCCGTCCAGTGTATTGTTCCAGCAACTCTCTACTACTAGTAGCTGCTATAGCTACTGAATTTTTGTCCCTCTTGGGAGTGCACAAAAGTGCACGCTATTGTAGACTTGTTGGTTCGTCCAGATTCTGAGACAAGAAATCTTTAGAACAGCTCAAAGTTTCCAGTTGACCTGTAGGGTGTAGTAGGGTGTGCAATTGGATGCACTTGGACTAGAATTCAGAACCATTCTGTAGAGTACTGTGTTTTTCATTGATCTTGCCAAACCATTCTGTAGAGTACTGTGTTATTCTCAAACTCAACAACTGCAAAGTTCATCAGGAAATTGCTACTGTAGCAAGAAGAGGTACTAGCTGTAACAGGTGAGCTTTGTCCAGGTTAGATGAATTCTGCAGATCGATGAACATTCACATACTCCTGTTGCCTGCTCCCTGTCAAAGCTTTTTTTTTTTAACATTCCTGTCAAAGCTGTGACGAGTTAAATGATGCACTGGGCGTAGTACGAGTACGAGCCAAAGCCCTGGATACGTTCGGCTCGTGCAGCCGGTGCTTTGGTCCAGGCTTGTCGCGAGGTGTCAGCGACTCAGCGGTGTCGGGGCGGCCTCGGGCGCAGCGCTCGCAGACAGCACAGCAGGGAGCAGAGAAACTCGCCGACGGCTGCAGGGCGGCTAGCGAGGCTAAGCCTGCGTGCACGGAGCACCATGCCACGGCTGCCAGATTCTACAGATTCTCGCTGATCCTGCCTGCATGATCGATCCTGTTCCGAAACAATTCCACTTGCACGTCGACCAAATATTACTGAGATATTTAACCATTTATCAAATTTTGATGTGGCAATTAACTTTTTACCACTAGACTCATATGTCATAGACACATATGGACCCATATGTCATTAAGATAGGGGTGGCAAATAGTTATTTGCCAAATCTATAGTTAAAAGCCCCAAATATTACTACGTGCAAGTATTATCATGCTACAGTGCACAAGACTTTGGTAAGAACAGGTATAATAAAACTTACTCGTAGTTAGCAGGTTATAAGCCGATCCATATCAGTACAATCCTAGTTGGATTAGTAATAATAAAGTAAGGCCAAGTTTAGTTATAAATTTTTTCTTCAAACTTTTAACTTTTTCATCACATCAAAATTTTTCTACACATACAAACTTGACCACTCTACTACTGGTACAGTAGCACCCTGCCTTAATAATCGCAACAGAGTGGTTCGATTCCACCTCAGAACGACCTAATGAAATGTTTAGCATCTAGTTGAGTGGGTGCTTGCCTCTTCTAACTTTTCCATCACATCGTTCCAATTTTAACCAAAATTTTAATTTTAGCGTGAACCAAACTTTATCGCACGGTGCTAGAACTATAAAACCACCCTCGTTTACCATCAATATTAGCGATAGTTTTCATGGTTGTGTTTAGTTCAGCGCAAAGTTTGGATTTTGGTTGAAATTGGAGATGATGTGACTGAAAAGTTGTATGTGTATGACAGGTTGATGTGATAGAAAATGACTGAAGTTTGGATCCAAACTTTGGATCTAAACACAGCCCATGTTTGGTGGGCCTGTGCAGTCTCTCGACGATCCGGTGCGCACAACCCTAAACCCTACACTGAAGGTCCCTCAACTTGTTATCGGGATAAAAAACGTCCTCGAACCGCAAAACCAGATATGCGGAGTCCCTTAACTATACAAAACCAGTCACCCGAGGTCCTTCGGTGGTTTTGACCCGGTTTTGGTCTACGTGGCGCTGAGTCAGCGTGGGACCCACGTAAGCCCCACATGTCAGCCTGTCCACGTCAGTTCCTCTCTCTTTCCCCTCCTCTCCCTTCCTCTTCTCTTTCTCACTCTTCTCTCTGGTGCTGTGGGTAGGCCGGCGCCGCCGGCCGACGGGTGGGGAGGAGACCGACGGGGCGAGACGGGAGAGGAGGTCCGGCGGCCGGCGGCGGCGGCGACGGCGACGACGCGAGAGCAGGGGAGCAAGGCGGCGGCGGCGGCGACGACGCGGCGCCGATGTGCACTTGGTCTCGGTGAAGATTGGGAAGCCGTCGTCCCCGTAGGATTCGTGCCTCCCGACGATGCGCCTGGCTTGCCGCCGCCGCGGAGATCGTCGGCACCATGAAGTTCTTCGCGGCGCCCGCGGGGCGAGCGGGCTTGGGCGCCGTCGTCCTCGTCGCCGCGTCACGCTGCCCGCTGTTCTTCTTCGCACTACTTGTTCTTCTCCTATTCCAGCCGCACCACCAGCTTGCCGCGTCCCACGTCGCCGTGAACCAGCAGGTGAGCCTTGTGCCGGATGCGGCGGCGGCGAAGGCGGCCGGGGTCGGGAACGGCGCGGTGGTGGACGTGGGCGACGAGGAGGAGGAGGGCAGCGGGTCGAGGTGGATGCTGATAGTGGTGACGACGACGCGGTCGGGCGGCCGGGAGCGGCGGCGGCGCAACGCCGCGCTCGCCCACGTCGAGAAGCACTACTTCCCCGGCGTCGTCCACTTCGCCGACGCCGCCGGTGTCTACGACGCCCATTTCTTCGACAAGATCCGCCAGACCGAGTCAGTACTCCATCCATCCATCCCATTTGGTTTCTCACTTCCTTTTTTTTTGCTTGATTATTAGTACTGTTTCATTTAGGTTGCAAATTGGAATGTGCTAATCCGAATGCTTCTTTCTTCATGTTGATTTCTAATTAACCTCAGAGGTTGAACCTCTCTCATTTTTTGCTTGATTATTAGGAGCACTCTTTCGTTTATAGGTTGCCAATTGGAATGTGCTAATCTGAATGCTTCTTGATTGATTCTTCGTGTTGATTTCTAACCTCAAACTCCGGGTCAAGCTGGCCGCGGCCAAGAACCGCCTCACCGCCGCCGACGCCTTGCTCCCCCGCCGATGCCTTGCTCCCCTCGCTGGCCGCCACGTCGCCGGTTGGGGAAGGACTTGATGGCGACGTCACGGCCGGTGAGGAGGTCGACGCCGGCCTCCCCGCCCCCCTTGCTTGCCTACCTCATCCCTCGATGGCGGTCCGCCTCCGTGCCTGTGGCTTCTGCAATGGCGGACGAGAGCAATGGCGGCGGCGCGTCGCCAGTCGCCAGCCGCCGTCGTCGTGTCGCCCGTCGCCGGCCGCCGACGCCCTCGTCCTCTCCCTCCTCTCCCCACCGAAGGCAGCAACCCACCGACGTCCTCCCCAGCTGCCTACCCAAACAGGAGAAGAGTGAGAGAGGAGGAGAGGAGGGGAGAGAGTGATGACGTGGCCAGCTGACAGGTGGGGCCCATGTGGGTCCCACGCTGACTCAGCCGCCACGTAGATCAAAACCGGGGTCAAAACCACCTAGGGACCTCGGATGACCTCGTATACGATAAACCAATGACAAGTTGAGGGACCTTGGGTATACTTTTTCCAATAAAATTGTTACCACAGGTCCACGAGCAGAGATCCAGCCTTACCCCAAGTACCTGTGTTATGCTTCCAAGAAGGAGAAAGCATGACAAGAGGTGGCTTAGTGGGTGTTTAGATGGGGCTAAAACTACTTTTTAGTCCATGTCACATCAAATGTTTGGACGTTAATTTGGAGTATTAAATATAGACTAATAAAAAAACTAATTTTATAAATGAGAGCTAATCTGCGAGACGAATTTTTTAAACCTAATTAATCCATAATTATAAAAAGTTTACTATAGCATCACATTGTCAAATCATGGCGTAATTAGACTCAAAAGACTTGTCTCGCGAATTAGTCCAAGGTTATGGAATGAGTTTTATAATTAATGTATGTTTAATACTCTAAATTAGTGTCAAACATCCGATGTGAATAAGTCCTGTTTCCCAATCAGGCCCTAAAGTGATTTTGAGGATGAAAACGGCATGCCGCACTCCAAATCCAAAGCCGAATCTGATCACCTGCCAATCAAACTTCGACAGCATCGAACACCCAATTAGCTCGCAGCATGTCAACCATGAAGCCAAGCCCGCAAACCCGGTCTAGTCGTCTAGAAACGTCACAGAAGATCGGTTTCCCCAGTACTCTCGTATCAGATTTTTTTAGGAGTCGCTAAACGCCAGGGCCACCGGACTACCAGAGGAGGATGAGAGGGAGAAGAAGATTGTGATTCCTCGCGTCCCCTGGATGGCGACCTGCCAGGACGCCGAGACGAGGGGAAGCACCGGGGCGCGTTGGAGCCTTTTGAGAGAGTGCGGCGGAAACAGAAAGCCAAGATGCCTTTGGCCACTTGCGCTGAGGCTGCAGCTGTACCACTAATTTTGACAATTTGATCCTTTATAAAAACTAATTTTATAAATAAATCGCCGTCACCGTAGATGGTAGGCTGAATCAGCGTGCCAACGTACATTCAGCGTCACGCTGTTTGGCGCCGAGGTGTCTAAATTCAGCGTCCATATGATTTAATGCTGAACAAAATGGTCATTTTGAAATAAGTTTTGATGACGGTTTATTTGTAAAATTAGTTTTTGTAAATGGTCGAATTGTCAAAATTAATGGCAGCTGTACTGTGTGCTTCAGGGAAAATTTTTTTTTCTTATTCCCCCAAAAGGGGCCAAAAGCGACAAGCCCGCCTTGGTGAAAAGAATTAGAGGTGTGATAAGTTATTTATCAAAATTTAAATTGTGAGTTTGTACTTTTTAACTGTACCGGTAATCACAAATCTCTTGTACACATTTTTTTCAAGGTGTAGTACTAATCATCCGTTGTAGGTTTGTAGCTGCAAATTCTAGGATGGGAAGCGACAAACCCACAACCGTGGGAAGAATTAGAGATGTGATAATCTATATATCAAAATTAAAATTGTGAAGTTGTACTATTTGGCTGTATTGGTAGCCGCAAATCTCTTGTATATGTTTTTTGAGGTGTGGTCCTAATCATCCGTTGTAGCTATAAATTCTAAGATGGAGGGAGTATATTCGTTGAATCCTGCAAGATTCGACGTGCTCTCCTCTTGATCTCCGCTCTTGCCCATCGTCTTAGAATTTGTAGCTACAACGGATGATTAGGACCACACCTCGAAAAATATAGACAAGAGATTTGTGGCTACCAGTACAGCCAAAGAGAATTTTGATATATAGCTTATCACATCTCTAATTCTTTCCAGGGCGGTGAGTTTGCCGCTTCCCTAGCACGGGCGGAGCCCCAGAAAGCCAGCCTCCTTCCTCCCCTTTCTCTTCCTCTCCTCTGTACGTCCAATCGACTACGAGATGCCCTCATGCCGCATGTCTTTCTTGCAAGTCATCCACGGTCATTTCTCCAAGTCCAGTGAAACCCTCTTTTTTCCCCTTCTCCAACGCCTCCCCTAACTCTCATATCTAAACTCTAAATCTAGCATCACAGTCGTTGTCGTTACCGTAGCCAGAGACAGAGAAGACTCTATTATCGTCACGAAACTTAGCATGAATTATACAATAAACAAATTTAACTGCAAACTAGGGAAATTTCCCGATGCAATCTTATGTGTCCTAGTTAAATTGGACAATTAGCTCATGTTTTTATATATGCTATACTTTATAAACGTAGATGTTAATAGTAGAATTAGAATTTAATGTACAACTATCTTCTTCAGTTTCTATTGCCTTTGTATACAACTATTGCTATTAACATACATTGTTATAATTTGGTCCTAACACGATCTAACAGCTTAGATTTTATTTTAAAATTATTGTGGTAATTTTTCTAAACCACGAAGATAGCATGGGGGCTTCTTTTCAAGCTAGTATAAAAGTCTATATAGATAGATAGATAAATAGATAGATAGACAGATAGACAGACAAATAGATAGATTAAGGGTTGGTTTGGTTTGTAGTCTAAATATAGATTTTACCAAATTTTATCAAGTTTTGGTATGACTAATTTTGGTAAGGCAAAGTTGTGCTTGGATTGAAGCCAAAATTGTCTAAGTTCACTATTCAAATGGCCTATTTTCTTAGGCATGCCAAAATTTGGCGTCAAACCAAATATACACTAAACACTATTGAAATTGCCAAATATTGGTAAGCCTAATTTAGACCTCGAACCAAACCAGCCCTAAGATTTTAGGTGATTGAAATTTAGCAATTTCCAAATAATATACTCCCTCCAGGCTGATAATATTAGTCGTTTTGAACAAGGGTAAAGTCAAACTTTAAAATCTTTGACTACGAATAATTTCTAAAATATTTATCTTAAAAATATGAAAACCAATGTGTAGATTAGTCTTAGAAAGTACTTCAATAAAATCATATATTTGTTGAAATTTCTATATATTTTATAATAGAAATTAGTTGTCAAAGTTACTTTTTGAAGACCAGGTTTTCCAAAACGCCTAATATTATCAACCCGGAGGGAGTAATAAGAAGACTACGTGGGTTTCCTGTGAAATGAGTATTGACCGCAGATTGCATGTCGGGTAAGCTCTTCATTTACAAACCTTACCTCGCGTAGTAGACTTGTAAACACGAAAGCCGAGATGCTTACGTACGTTACACATACCAGCAAGCTGATACGGTGGCACGGTGAATTTCCGCGCCCCGTCCATCCATCGCTCCGCACCGCACCGACTACCCAGCCGCAGCCACCCGCAACCGCAGCAAAGTGGCCCCCACACAAGGTTCCCTCCATCCATCCATCCATTCCACGCGCAGCGCGTCCCAATGTGCGGATCCACGCATCCCGCAAACCCCCCAAAAAGCAGCGGCGAAAAACACTCGATCGCCCAGCCCCAAGAAGCCAGCAGGACGGACGGGGCGAACGCGAGGCGCACCACCCGAGGCTCGCGTCCGCACCCCGCGCCGCCCGATCCCGATCCGACGGCCCGCGCGCTCCCCGACCGGCCGCGGAGACGCGGAGCCGCACCCCCCGCAACCCAGGAGCCCGGGAGGCTGGAACTTGTTCCGCCCACGAGGCCGCGGTAACCTCACCTCCGTTAACCCGCGGTTAACCCAACCCCCTTGGTTAGGTTACCTCGTCGTGTTATATACTCGAGTGTGGTGAGTCTCCCATGGCTGAGCTCGAGGTCGAGGCTGCGTGGGTGTGCGACGTCGGGGATGAGCTGCAACGGCTGCCGCGTGCTGCGGAAGGGGTGCAGCGAGGGGTGCGTGTTGCGGCCGTGCCTGCAGTGGATCGACGGCGCCGAGGCGCAGGGCCACGCCACCGTGTTCGTCGCCAAGTTCTTTGGCCGCGCCGGCCTCATGTCCTTCCTCACCGCCGTCCCCGAGCCGCAGCGCGCAGGTAAGGGTGGGGATCCGTACTACGATGGATGGTTTACCGGTGAGTGCGCGCGCGTGTTCTTGGCTGATGGGATGGCGTGGTTGGTTGCAGCGGTGTTCCAGTCGCTGCTGTACGAGGCGGCGGGGAGGACGATCAACCCGGTGGGCGGCGCGGTCGGGCTGCTCTCCGGCGGGAGCTGGCACCTCTGCCAGGCGGCGGTCGACACCGTGCTGCGCGGCGGAGGCATCCAACCGCTGCCGGACCAGGTCGACGCCGCCGCCGCCGGTGGCCGCGACGTGTTCGCCTCCACGGCGAGGCGCGCCATGGGCGGGTGCTCCACGTTCTCGACGGCGAAGCGGTCGACGACGACGACGACGACCAAGAACCCCGGTACTCCGCATGACGCCGCCGCCGCGGCGCCCCAGCCGGAACCGTCGTGCGACCTCGGCCTGTGGCTCAGCCCCGGCTCCCCGCCGGCGCCCGGGGACCGGCGATCCGGCGGCAGGCGGGCCGACACGCCGTCGATGAACTCCGAGGGATCCGTCACGACGTGCGGCGTCGTCGGCGACGGCGAGAGGGAGCCCGAGCTGCTGAATCTTTTTGTCTAGGCTAGCTAGCTAATTAACCTGCTCAATTCTCATATGCTTTCTTTGCTGCATCCCGGCGAACTCTTTGGTAGCCTCTCGCCGGCGAGGTATCCCTTAGCCATTTTTTGGCCGTGTAAAAGTCGACGGTGCGCGTGCACTGCTTCTACTTGACTCTTTACAGTACCTTATGTTTTTTTCTCCCCCTACTTTGTTAGCATCAAAACGTCGAATAAAAGCGAACAGATTAACCTCGCGTCGTGATCGATCTTATCCTCAACTTAATTATCGAAAGCGTATAGCGTATAGTACATGATTAGAGCAGGTACAATAGCAAGTTATTAGCCAGTTGTAAACGTATTTTAATGAGATAAAAGATGAGAGAGAAGAACAGCGGACTATAGATCTGTAGCTAGCTGCAGCACGGACTCCAAGACGTAGTGTGTGTATAACAGATGAGACCATATATTAATAGTATAATAAGAGCAGGTTTAACACTATAGTCCACTACTAGCTCCAAATCATCTATAACCAACATAATAGCCAATTCATACAATAGCTACTTACTGTACTATTAATATCTGGTCCCACCTATCATACACACATCACGTCTTAGAGTCCTATCATACACACATCACGTCTTAGAGTCCGTGCTGTAGCTGGTTACAGATCTATAGCCAGCTGCTCTTCTCTCTCTTCCTTTATCTCTTTAAAATATATTTATAGATAGCTTATAGCATGCTATTGTACCAGCTCTAAGTAACTATTGTATGAATTAGTTATTAGATTGACTTAGATGAATTAAAGTTAGTAGTATTAGCCTTGCTCTTAGTGTTGGCCAGCTGCTTCATCGCCATGGTTAAAGACAACAGAACAGCTATATATAGTACTCCATATTGCGTATAATAACTAATCCAAGTGGGTAGTATTGAAACTCTAGGTGGGGTAGAAGAAAAAAGAGGGGGGGACGAAGCGTGGGAGGTGGCGAGTGGGGTGTGGGGGTGGGGTTGGATTGGATACGGCGGTTCAGCTTTGCGCAGGGCGATAGTTCCGCGGCGCCGCGTTTCGGGGTGGGCGCACGCGTGCGTGGGCGCCTGGGCGAGGCGACGACTTGACGCGACCCGCGGACGGCCGCCCCCCGCTGCGCGGCGCGGCCTTTTCTGCCGTGCCGGTGGTCGCGGCCTCGTGTCTCGGGAGCACGGCCGCGTTGGTCCGCAGGCTCATGTACGTCTGCACGTACGACGCTGGGCCGGGCGGGCAGCGGTAGCGAGGCATGCGGCATCCGTACGAACGTCCGTGGTACACCATCCCACGGCGGCACGGCTCGTGCAGGGCGAGATGAGTAGTATCCGCGTCACAAAAGTCACAATGCATGTCAGCATGTGTGCTGAAGACAATACTCCGTGGTTGTTTGGTTAGGGCATGTACCATGAGAGTCACTAGCTACATTAGTGCTCTCACTAACTGAAAACACTTCACCCTTTTAGTTTTAAACTTTTTCTTTAAACTTTAGGCCGTGTTTAGTTGCAAAATTTTTCTTTAAACTTTTAATTTTTCTATCACATCAAAAATTTTCTACACACATAAATTTTCAACTTTTCCATCACATCGTTCCAATTTCAACCAAATTTTTAATTTTAGAGTCAACTAAACACACCCTTAAACTTTTCCATCATATCAAAACTTTCCTACACACATAAACTTTCATTTTTTTTCAAACTTTCAATTTTAGTCAAACTTTCAATTTTGATGTGGAACTAAACACCGCCTTCATGAGACACCCATTTTCCAATGGGGGATACTCGTAGCTGGGCTCTTCAAAATCCGAAGTAACCGGGTGGAGACACTCCAGCCCACAACAGGATGTCCCAGCCCACGTAGCCCACATATTTATTCCTATTTCCTCCCCTACCCCTAGCCTCTTTTCTCTCGTTAACTCAGACTACCAAGGAGGACCACGTCCGCCTCAACAACCCATTCCTCGATAGCCGTGCCGTCGTCCTCCCTCCGGCACCGGGATGCCGCGCCGCCGCTCTCCTTCTCGCCTCTCGCCCACAGCACCCACGACTTCCTCGTCGGCCCCCACTTCCTCCTCCGCTGGGACCCGTCCCTCGGCGGGACGGTGTCACTGGCTCCTCGCCATGGGGGTAGTGGTGGTGGCGGGGGCAGTGGCGGTGGCGCGATGATGTGGGAGACCGTCCCCGGCGTCGTCTGTGGACACCAAGGCTGATGAGTGCCGTTGCTCGTTCGCGCTTAGCGACAGCCGCGCCCGCCTCGTCCCCGACCACCAGTGCGTCGATAGGATCCACGCCGTGTATCGCTGCGACGCCGACGCCGTCGACACCGACCTCCTGCGCGGCACGGCGTTCCAAGCGTCCGAGCATGAGCAGACGCGGTTCCCCGTGGTGGTGATCATCGGTGTCGTGTCCGCCAAGAAGCCGACCCGCTCGCCGTTGTGCCTCTGCGGTTGGCGCCGCGCCGCCGGCAAACGGCCGGTCCTCTCGACGCGGTACTTGATCCTCCTCGAGGAGAAGAACGACACGCAGGTCGCGTTCCGCATCAAGCTTGGCGACTACCAGTGGAGCTGCGACCACTGCAACCACCATGCCACCCACCCATCACTATCCCCTTCCACCTCCCCAAGAACGCACCGAGCCGGCAGCATCCTCCGCCTCCGCCTATCCACCCGCGTGCAGTGGAGCAGCAGCAACGGCAAGAAGAAGAAGAAGCTCTCCTTCACCGCCGACGTCTCGGTTGACCGGGAGGACCTCACGCCGCTCGTGCCAGCAGCGGTGGCGGAGATAAGGCGCAGGGGCATTTCGGTCCGACCACGTCAAAAAAGGGCTCCGCTTGCCATGTCAGCACGGCAAGTTTCATTTAGACGGCACGGTGTCCATCGGCAAAGCTTTGTTTTTGCCCAAACCTTTGTTTTTGCGGTGTCCCTGGGTTAAAACCACACAATTGCGATGTCCTGTAGCAAAATTTGCCTTTAAAGATTAATTTTTTAAAAAATCATAAAAGTCCACCTCATGAGATAGCATGCATGGACATATGTGATAGAGAGAACAAGTGGAACACACGCACATGCTCGCTCACCTCGCCCGGCTAGATGGCTTGCGTACGCGACATCTGCATGAATGGCCTGCCAACATTGGTTCCTCACCCTTGTGCAAATGCAATTTCCTTTTGCAGTTTTGTTTTGCTACAAAATTCAGTTTTGTTTTTGAAAATAAACCGAATAATCCAATGCATGTGTGGAACGATGTGGAATTCGATTAAGTTACGCGTGACTTATCCAGTTTGGTTATGTGGTGTGAAGATCATGTAGGCGTCCTGATCACGTATCCCGATATCTCTATATAAACCGAGCCGCCGACTCCCGCAATATACGGGAAATCAATCTAGAGTTTGACTCCTCCTCTGTACTGCGCCGTCGCTTGTAGTCTACTCCATCCCATTTGCCTGCGTGCACTAGCAATCGGGAGAGCAGATCTCCGGAACCTTCGCCTTCGACGTCCTATATCGGGAGAAGGCGGCAATAAGGTTTTTGGAAAGTGCCTTGCGCAACTGCTTGCTGGTCTTCTACGACAGCTCGTCTTCCTCTATGCTCGAGGGCTGTGCACCAACGATAACATTCGGCACTGCACGTTGTTCCTGCAGCGCGCGTTGCTCCTCATCAACTTGATCTACAGTATAACCAGAACCCTTGGTACGTGTTCATGATGTTTCATCTATTTGACCTGCTCATGGTTTACTATATAGTTTACATGTCTAGATCGTATGATGTGGATCTGCTAGTATACATGTTCAATGTCATGATTTATTTATATAATAAATTAAATCTATATGTGCTTATATATTCAACATTTCCTACCTGAGACCACCATGTCTTGTAGAAGACACGGGGAGCCTGATGAACCCACTCGCTCTAGCAGCGCGGCTCTTATGGGGTGAGCTAAAGGCTTCTACAGTTTCACCATGTAGGTGCATTGTGTATGACCTAACCGGAGCAAAAAGATATTACTACTACGACCTCTACTTCTGTGAGTCAAGCTAATGCACCTTTTGGGAGCACGTACGTCACAATCTTCTTCCTCTGCACCAACAACTCGAATCAAGTCAACCACTACCGAGAACGGCGCCAACGGAGGAGGACGGAGCGACGACAACGGAGCGGGGATAACAACACCAACAATTCCTCTTCTATATCCGGAGCTTTCTCTGTTATGTTTTTCTTATTTCAGTGTTAAACATATTTTTAGTTGCTACTGTTCTTGCTAGCATATTTATGTTTATCACCGTGGAAAAACCATTCTTTATTGTATATATCATGTTTATTATGTTATGCTATTGGATTAAAATATACCGATTTATGACTAGAATTTCTAGCAAAGAAAACCCACTAAACAAAGTTACAACTATTACGGCCTTGGGTTCTTGTCCCGCGAAGTAAAAGAAATGGGAGTATCGAATAGGATATAAACATTGATTCCCACGGAGAAAACATGTATGGGAACATATATCAACAAAAATCGTCAATCGCATCGGAATCCCCGCTGGTACGGTGTTGATTCTTCATTCGCGCGTGTACTCTCTTCCTCTCCCCACCCTTAACGCGCGTGGATCACCGACGAGAGCCACTTCCGTTTGTTCGCTCTTGCGCTTGCTTGAACTGGGAAAAGAATTCAACTTTAGATTTCGCTAGATCGATTCATTTATGCTGTCCCTTCGAGAGCGTGCTGGCTTGATAGTGGCCAATTTGAAGAGCCGAATCGTTCTTGGACGGCTGGGCACATGATACACATGCAACTCGTTCCGGTGTTCTTTATTCTGACAACGCCAGCGAGTATATACTGGAGTAAGAGCAAGGTTAATAGTATAGTCTGCTGCTGGCTCCATTATCTCCATGTCATTTTATAGCTAATATTACAAACAACTAATACAATAGACTAGCTATTGTACTTACTACATCTCATGAAAGAAATATTTAATTATACATACACATACTTTATGAGTACTTACTGTGTATGATCAAAAGTGAACTTCATATTTGTGGCCATTCATGTTTTGAGATATGAGTTCTTATGTCTACATGAATATAATTGAATGGAAGCTATCGAAAATCAGATGGAGCGAGGTAAAAAAAATACACTCAGCGGCGAAAAAAATACATGGAAACAAAATCCGCCTTTTGTAAACAAGATACGCATACATCTGAGATCAGGCAGAAATAGAGAAAAAACCAAGAAAAAAAAAG